TCTCGTGAAGCTCCTTTACAAGAAATGGTAGGTCATTTATATAGACGAGAAATAAGAAGGGACCAAGTATTGAGTTGCCGTGCATGCGTGCATGTTGCCGTGCATGCGTGCATGTTGCCATGGTGGATGTTACCCTTGACATTACATTCACGTAAACACATTTAAGTTATATATGTCAACGTAAAATTGTAAAGACCGTTAGATTGTAATCTATCTCGCGAGATTGTCGAAAGATTGTGAACTCAACGTACTGCTTACAATTTAACGTATTATTATTCGGTAGTTTAAGGAATTACATATTTTGACTCTGGCAAGTCAATATATTTATGATAATATGTTGTACGTGCGGAAAAATATAGATATCTTTAAAAAGAATAGTAGCTTCCATAATTATAGTACTCGTAATAAAGACAAAATTAGCGCACCAACCAGAAGGCTTCATAAAACGAGTAATTCTTTCCAAGGCAATTGTATACGTTTTTTCAACAAAATCCCTAGTGAGATACAAGTGTTGTCAATAAATAAATTTAAATCGTAGGTACATTAAAGTAAAACTGCTTGCTAAGGCTTATTATAATATAAATGAATATATGGGCGGATGCCCTTTATCATAAGAATCAGCCATGTCTTCAATAAGTTGTAATGTGGGTAGGAACAAAAGAATCACAAAAAGTATCTCCCTTACAGCAATTCACTAAAATCTATTCACTAGTAATTAGGGAATCACTTAATCAATCACTTTTAATTAGTTTTGTAACAAAAAGACACAAGATTATTTGGAACAAAAGCGATTCGCCGCAGACGTGGTGCGCTCGCCGTTGACGTTCGAAAACGAAATTCAACATGGCCGCGCTGACCATCGACACGACGCTCCGCCAGACTGACAATTGTCAAATCTCGTTCCAACGTATTTCCAGTATTTCTTAACAGATGGCGCTAGGAATGCGCAGTCACGGCCGGACTGACTTTCGACCGTCCTCGGGCGCATCAGATTGCGGTAACAACCAATCGGACGGGTGTCAGTAAATCTACCCGCTCGCCCAACCTGACAAGCTATGACTACTAGACGTAATGTTACTGTCATACAACTATGACTGTCTCAGAATAAAAAAAGCGGGTGTCCTTTCGACCACTCATGGACCGAACGGCACCTTTTTCTAATCACTTAACAAACATTACACTCTTTATCGGCATGTCCTATCCTTAGGATCAATTTTTCACACAGTATCAATTTGGACCGGACGGGTGTGTCCTTTCGACCAGCCACACGTGCATGGCCCGGACGACACTGTCCCTTCGACCAATGAACACTTAAGGTTGGACCGGATGAATGTGTCCCTTCGACCAGCAGCTATCAGCTGCATAGCCCGGACGACATTACCCTTTCGACCAACGAAACAACGAACACTTAAGGTTGGACCGGATGAATGTGTCCCTTCGACCAGCAGCTATCAGCTGCATGGCCCGGACGACATTATCCTTTCGACCACCTTCACACACACACCACGTTACTCGATGACTCTTCTCACTAATCGTGCCAACATAGTTAAGTAGACTTCAGTGCTTACAGATTACACATACCTATAAGTTACGGACTGTCTTGCTCTGCGTGTCGGACCTCATGCTCAAAGATTTCGCGATCTGAAATGTTACTTAGGGTATCAGACTCCGCTGTAAGCGTGTCTGATCCTGCAGTCAATATATCACAAACATTCGGTCTGTCGAGGTAACTATTATCGAATTTAACGTCTTTCGGTGCCGTCATGGCCTCCTCTTCAGTCATCAAACTATAAGATGTTTCAACTAACCCGTCACGACCCCGAGGCACTGGACGCAAGCGCGTATTTGAAAGTACGATGTGAACCGGTTATGCTTTTCAACTCGTAACGGTCATTATCTAATACTGCGATTATTACATAAGGACCTCTAAACTTCCTATCTAACTCAGCTTGGTTGCGCTCGCAACTTTTGATGAATACGAATCGCCCTTAGTAAATGGCTTGATAGTAGCTCGACCTTGGTCAAATCGTAAAGTATCGGATGCGGCTGCCCTTTGTATGTTAAGAGACGCATCTTGCCTAGCTGACTCTACGTCAATTCGCTGTTCTTGTTCTGAATCTGGACTTGAACACCTAATTCTCGACATACCTAGAGATTGAGAACGGATACCGAACATGAGTTCAGTTGGCGTAAATTTGGTGACTGTAGACCCAGTACTATTAAGCGCTAATTGCACATTACCCAACTCGTCACGCCACGGCCTATTGGGATCGCTTTCGATAATCGCTAGCAAACTTTTCAAAGCGCGCATCACACGCTCGACTTGCCCGTTTGCCCCGCTAGACCAGTTTGCTATAAAATGCAGCCCAATGTTACGCTCCGAACAAAAGCTCCTGAAATCCTGGCCAACGCAACACCTGCCTTGATCGGCTACTATGCGCTTAGGTGCTCCAAAAAGGAAAACGGCATTTTTAACGGCTTGACCGCACTAGCTGCGTCTAACGAAGAGGTTTGCTCTAATAACACGCATTTAGTGAACGCATCAACAATTACCGAACAATACTCCTTACGGTCACTTTTTCCACTTAGTTTGCGGGTGAAGTCTATATGAATCGTCTGCCACGGTACCGGAGCTTTTGGAATAGAATGTAGCTGCACAGGCTGAGCGCCTGAGGGACCCTTCGACGCCTTGCAGACAATGCAAGAGTCATCAAATTTTCTAACGCACACGGACATCTGAGGGAACCAACATTGTTCGTACAGTCTGTCCAGTGTTCCGTCACCACCCAGACGCTGCAACTCGTTATGAACGTGATTGATCAAAGTCCATATTAGGGAACGAGGGACGACTGGCAGCCATGATATAATCTTTTTTCTTACAACCCTCCTATAAAGAACGCCATTCCTAACGTCACATGTCTGACCAACCGTTTCAGGAAAATCGCCATTATTGTGCTTGTTGATCAAGTCGTGAAAGCCAGCCCCGATGTAATTTTACAAAATTTACTGTCTGAATTGTAGGTTTTGAAGAGACTTGTGACTCGGAAACTAAGCTATTGGGGTCCGGCAGGGGATTTCTAGAAAGGCAATCCGCGTGCTCCATGCCACGACCCTCGCCATATATGATATCGAAATCGTAGGCTTGTAAAAATGCCCACCAGCGATGAACACGTGGGGTCAGGTCAGTTTTAGACTTCGATGCTTTTAATGAGTTACAGTCCGTGAAAACCCTGAAACGTCGGCCGTATAAATAATGCCGGAAGTGCTCCACCGCTCGTATGACCGCCAGCGTTTCCAGTTCGTACGAGTGGTAACGGGACTCTACTTCAGAGGCCCGTCAGCTAAAGTATTCCACAACATGGGGCAGGTCCTTCTTTTTCTGTATTAAGATCGCCCCATATCCCTCTGAGCCAGCGTCGCAATGCAATTCAACGGGTAGGTCCGGGTTAAAGACTATCAGAACCGGTTCGGAGGTAAGTCCCTGTATAATGGTATTACGGATATGGGCGTCGTTGAACAGTTTTATGGGGTAGACCCCCATCAATCAATTTCTAACTCTCCTGTGTTCACGCGTTTAAGGGGAACACCATCCACGAAACTGCAAGCATATTTGTCCAATAGTCTAATAAGGGCATCTCGATCATCAGCTATCAAATCCGTATCTATCCTAGTAAAGTATGGCTGGGTAGCAATCAGTGGGATTTTATATTTCCAAAGTTCATGAAGTATAAATCCACTTTATTTGATTAATTTAAATCAATATTATATCATTAGCTTCTATTATAATTACAATAAAATATATTTAGAACTTCTAATTATGTTCATTAGTGACTGCTTTCTCATCTGAAATATACAAATAAAATGTACAATCATTTTACTTTGTGTTTACATAATATATGCAATATTAAATGGTATATATATTATTCAAATTAAAGAACAATTTCATGAACTTACATGCAATATAAATATTAATAAAAGATATCCATTATAACTAGGATTTACCTCTACTAATTTGCTGATTTTCTTGATATTTTCATATTTATCTGTGTCTATTATGTTATTCTCGCATTGATTCATAGAAAAACTAAAACTCTTAACTTAAAAATATTAACTTTACTTTAAATTATTTTAATTACAGGAGAACGTTAAAAAAAAGACATAACAAATTAAAACCATTTCGTTAAAACGTCCAAAATATGACATGTTTTTAAAACGGTAGCCATTAAAGATGGCGATAGTTGTACTGAATTATTGCAAACAGCAGCTTTTGAGATCACGCTAAAACATGGCGGAAAAACGCCGTTTTTTCTACACTGCCGAAACATTAATTGGCCGTTGGCTACCGAATAGCGTAAGCGTTAATGTGTGTCTTTTCGTAGCACTGTCATGGCGTCGCTTATTGTATCCCGACTCACGCCTTTAGAGCCTAGGCTACCGACTGTCGACACGAAGTGTCATTTTTATACAAATTTAGTTTTCGACTTTCTACATACACTACTGTTAAGCCATTTTGGCTAGACCCCCAGTACGTTGAGTTCACAATCTTTCAACAGTTTAAAATCTCGCGAGATAGATTACAATCTAACGGTATTTACAATTTTACGTTAACATATATAACGTTTAGAGCTAAATGGTTATCTAGTTGACCACTCTTATTTTAAACACGGTTTTTATGCTTTCGTTCTTGTTCTGAGGATTAGACGTGTGTTTTCACTGAAATTTATCACAGATTACATATATATGCAAAGATGCAACTCAGTGGACTGTGGACTAACCTAATCTATGGAAAGATTTTATTGATTAAATCTTGTCACAAATTGCAATCAACAAACCAATTACATCCATGATCCTATCAATATCAACAATTGTTTAGGTTTCATGGATTGGGTTGTACTGTAAATATGGAAGAACACGTTATTTACTGAAGAGTAAATGTTTTAATGTGAAAATATGTACCTCAGTGTACTTAGGGGCATTGCAGTAACCAAAGAATGGTGAAAATGAAAACTAAAAGTTTCTTGTTGTTTTCGACAACCGTTTTTGCTATTAGTATATTTTTGATAGTTTTCCACTCGCAGCCACCGCAGTCATTTCAAAGTATAGTTTCTCAAACCCATCAACATATAAAAAACTTCCAGGTAAGTTAGTATTGTTTTTGAATAACACAATTATTTTATACTTTTACTGACAATGTAAGTAAAACTAAAAACATGTTGGATTAGTTCTAATGATTGAATTCATTACAAGAAATGTTTTTTAGCCTCTGAAATTCCTGGACTGCTGTAGTTGCCCTAAACTTCTTAAAGTAAAACATTCACTTGACTAGAGCAGTACAGTAGCAAATCTGTTTTCATAAATTGTTTTAATTCTATTGAAATTAATTTATTTTCTTGATATTTTTACATTACTTGATGATAATAGTTATAACAAACTTAATATATACAAACAAATAAAGAGTATATAATACAACATATGTAAGATGAGTATATGATTTCTATTGTTCTCTCTGGATATATGCTAATTTTTCTATCTTATATCAATTTGAGTAATTTTCAATAGCTTTTTGTAAGTGCTTACGTATGAAACTATTATTATAAAAGATATTAACAATATTATTAATGTTATCAAAAAGTTCATTTAGAAAGCATTATCTTATCCTTCATTTGAAAAATGAAATAAAATTTATCTGAACATAGCAGGCCTCTTTGCCCCAGGAGCAGCTACGGGATGTCGAAGAGCGTCACCTGGTGCAAGAAGAGCGTTACCTCAGCCTTGTCGGGTTGGCTGGGCATGTTGAGCTTTGGAAGAACACAACCGTACCTGTGCTTGTAACTCATGCTCGCAATGATGATCATGCACTAGTTGTAGCCTTTATAAGGGCAGCTCAGAAACTTCCATACACCATACTTGTCTACAATCTTGGCCTCAAACCCTATTCATTAAATGTGGTATGTTCTATGTGTTCTATGTGTATATTTATGTGTTAAATTAAAACTACAGTATAGTGTTATGCTGTTGTGTAATGGTTGTCTCTATAAAATGTCAACAAAATGTTATGTTTTGTTCTTATAAAAAAAACTAATAATTGGACTATAGGAGCTAGCTTTTGAAAATTTGTTGGTTAATAAATGGTTATTTTTGACCCATGGCTTTGTGACATGTGTGTGTAAATTCCTATATAGTACTTATTTATAATTTATTCTAAAATGTTTGTAACTTCATTTGCTGACATAAGATTTCAATTAAACAAAGTCTAAATATTTCTTCACGCTGAGATAAGTCAGTCTATTTGTGAAAACCACACAAGAAACAATAATATACCTGTACTGAAATTAGTAGATTAACAACACAATTCCTAGGCCTATTCATATTCAATAGAAATGAGATGCATCATAATAATTATAATAGCTATTATTTCTATTATTGTATGTGCTACAGTTTTTCCTTGCTTCTTAAAAAAATATAAAACATTTTGTTTTATCCACCAGATTTCCAACTACTGCAATTCATCAAAGTGTGTCGTGATAGATTTCGATCTCACAGCATTCCCTGCGCACGTCAACGACGAGAGCATCACTGCCTTTCGACCGCTCGTCATTCAGGTATACAATAGGGAGCGAAGTGAAGTAAATCTGTGGCACTATCGAACCAGTACTGAAAATCACGAAAATAATTGTTGTGCAGCACGCGCTGAGTCGCGTGGGCGGGGTGGTGTACTGCTCCGCGGCCAGTAGATGGCGCGGGTCAGCGGCCGAGCTGGAGGCGACGTGGCGGGGTGCGGCGGCGTCGCTGGGCGTGGTGGCTTGGCCGCGGAGAGCCGCCGTCACCTCTCTCACGCACCCGCACATGTTCACCTACTTCCACGCCGACGTCGACGACTTCCTCTTCGTGCAGATGCTGGACACGTCGCGGCTCGTCTTGGCCGCCTGCGACCGCCTCGCGCCTCTCATGCGGCCCTGGGTGCAGTGCGCACTCACCGCCGACTGCATCATGCCCGTCGGTCGGTACGATTTGTTTAGAACCCACCTATTCTTATTTACAATTTTTTGAGAAATTTATACCCGGTTCCGGTAATACGCCCATAAAAGTCGACCGAAGAGATAAAAATAATAAACAAATATAAACACTTGAAATGTTAATTACATCTTCGGTCGTGCTGTAAGAGAAATGTTTGTGGACAGGCGCTCAGTCGGAGGGCTGCCGTTTCGACAAGAAGCCGCAATATCGATATTCGGGGTGCCACGGACAGGACGCGTCGGCGCTGAGCATCATCCTGGGGCTCCGCAGCGGGTTCGAAGAGAGCGGCTACACGGGCTCAGCGGGCCGATGGGGCCGCGCGTCCGCGCCGGCCGCCGAGAGGGCCTTCTCCGCCCAGAGGCCCCTCTCCGCCGGCCGCAACGGCTCCACCACCCCCCGCCCCGACGAACGCTCCGACCGCACGGACCGCTACGACAGCCGCTAGAACCGGGTACGTTCCCCGCTGAGGGCGATCATCTCCACTTCCAGCTTCGTCCCGAATACCAAGTGATATGGATTCAATGTATTTTTGAGTTAATCAATATCGTACGTAAATATGAATCTTAACGAGTATTGCGCTTAGCATTTAACACTTTGCGTGCGATATATTTTAAGTAAATTAAAAACGCAAAATTGTGGCGAACAAATATTGATAGTAAAACTGTAGCCGGGAGAGATAGGTCCGTCTAGCGCCAGCACAAATGTGATCTCAATTATTTTTGGCAATTTATTTAAGAGTTTACTTTTTAATAATACAAGCGTCGAGAGCTCTGCACTGCGAACAGAATGCTCGGAATCTTCTAATTTCGATGCGACATTGTGTTTCAGCGGATTTGAAGTACAATTGCACAATTTCCTTTTTTAATCGTCGATGTCGACATTACTCTAGTAAATTATTAAGTACAGTCATTATTGTAATATTTTTTATTTTTGTAATTTTATACTTACCGCGTACAATATTATTTTGGTTATTTTTCTAAGCTTTAGAGGGCTTATTTATGTGCAGCCATTTTTGCGTATATCCTGTGGCGCTTAGCTTGTAAAGTGTTAACCGTGTTGGGTGTGTCGGGTCTCTCGATAGTTACGACTTTTGACAGAAAAACTTTGTATAAAGGTAGAAATTTTGTAGATAGTTGATTTATATTTAATAACAATAGATTCATGGATAGAAATAATAACTCAGAAGTAGCGATGGATCTAGGTTATGGCTGTCCATATTAAATCACTCAGTATTTATAGAAATGGCTTTTATATTCCGTATTGTACATTGAACTTGTGCTAGTCCTCTTCTATTTGTTAATAATACTTAATGCGCTCGTCCTAAGGTCCAATAATTATTTTAGTGTTTATTACTATGTATCTTAATTGTATTTTGTGCAATATTAGCTTATTATCGAACCCTACGAGTGATACCTTTATGCTCCTTTATTTAAAATAAATGGTTCATATAACGATTTCAGTGTCTAAGTGTTTAATGTATGACCTGCGCTGGGAACCGATTCCACACATCGCTAGTCCGGAAAAAGGAAACGGTTTGTAAAGCGAACTGTGGAAGATTTCTGGCCAACCAGACAAGTAGCTAGTAAGAATATTCTTAAACGACATGGCACATTATTTACATTCTTATGGTTTAATTTAAAACATACACTGAGCTCAAAATTATGTCTCTATATATCACTTCTCTTATATATTTAATTTTTAATAAAACCATTTGTGGACTTAAGGAGCGTTCAAGTATTACGTAACGCGTTTTGGAAGGGGGGGCCCTTTGGTAAAACGTTACGATGCGGGGCGGGGATTGAATTACGCTTTATTGTTAATATTATTTTCGACTTACACCACATAATAATAACTAAAGAGACACAAGGTGGTCACGAAACGTTTTACTATACTTGAGTACAGTACTGTACTAGGGTACTGAAAAACGTTACGGCGAGATAAAATGGGGGGGGGGGTCCAATAATCTCCAAAAATTGCGTTACGTAATATGTACTTGAACGGTCCCTTACTGAATATTGATTAATATCTATAAAATCACCGGCAGCTATCCGCTATCGGCTTAACTTCTCTGGGATATATTATATATATACATATTATTCTGATGGGTTACTGTTGTGGTAGATCCATATATAACTTCAAGCTCTTCGTGATAATATGTCATGTATTGTAAATTTTTTTTAAGACTTTGTTTTGTTTAGGTGTTATACAGAGGAAAATGAAAAATAAACTTGTGTTATTGATTATAATAAAAACAAATTATATAACAGCAGCACAGAAAAAGACATATTTTATGGCGAGTTGTTACAGTCAAACAATATATTAATTATAAATTGCACAAGCATTAATAATCATAACTTATGACTAGTATTTAACATAGCCGGCTCTAAGGCAAGCCTAAAATGTGATCTGAATAAAATGTTTTTTATTATTTGACTTAAATTCATAAACCTCATACGCATTCAATAACTTACATTAGAAACTATAAAATATTTTTTAAAAGAAGAAACAAGCAGTAAATAGGTTTCAGCAAAATATAGTATTAACTGAGTTATCAAGCTATATCACATTGTGAAAAGTAGGCGTCGAAACGGTCACTGTTGAACGGTCTCCTTCTTCTCGTCCTCTTTAAAAAGAAGTGGGGTCATACCGAGGAAGCAGCCCAGTGTAATTCCTAAGACACGGCCCTGAAGAGGATTTTAAGCGTTCAATGTGTTCCATATTATTATTTATTATAAAAAAAAAACATGGCGATTAAAGAGAGTGGCGGTGAGTTTATTGCCAGTTCTTCTCTTCCGTTCTACGCCCTTGATTTGAGAACTGGCACTAAATGTAAAATTAGAAGCAATAATATGTATTTCTTTACAGACAAGTCATAAGTGTACAAAGTGTCACCAATATGATTAAATGATTTTTGAATTTGAATTTAATAGTAATAAGATAAACGTTTAACGATAAATGCTTACCATGTTAGCAAATCTCCTACTGACGGGCATATCTAGTTGCACGGGTGACAGGGCTGGAGCTCCGAGCCCCAGCATAGCTGCCGCGCGCTCTACGTAGTAAGATGAGCCGATGCCAATGACGTCACTGAAAGTGTTACCTAGAGCCGCTGCTGCCATTGTCGACAATGTGATGTAAGCACTCATGCCACTCTCGATGCGGTCACCCTGAAAATTGTTTTAACATTGTTACTAAACTGTAATGGACCAGGTGTAACTTGTTTATATGCCACATATTTCTGAGTAATCTTTTTAGGTCATGAAGTTGACACTGATTGTTAAGTTTTGCGTGAAAGATGCAGGCTAAAGACAGTCATGTAAGCCAGAGGAAATGTAAAGCATTTCTAACCAGTCACAAATTTTATGTTCTTTTTATATATACTGTACATTCATGACCAACCATGCCCGGCTTGCATATCATAAACGCAATAATGATACTTGATTACTATTTTAATATGTCAGGGGCAAATTTGTTCAAAATGAGATCTTATCTACTTGAACAGCTTAATATTATCTTCATAAAAATGTCTTCACAAATAAGTAATTTTTTAGAACAAATAAGAACAATTATAAAAAGATTATTGTATGAGCCAAGTATGTTAATTACTGCTCGCTTGGTTTTTTTTATAAGTTTTAAAGAACAGCAGTTAAGTGTCTTCAAACAAATAATGTACTTATAAAGTATTATTATACTTACTGCAATTATCATAATAAAATTATCTAAGAATCCGAATCCAATAAAAGGTATTGAGTTTGCCAATGACACTGTAAAAATTAATTGTGTTATTAACCAGTTTAAATTACAGAGAATAAAGTTTTTATCATTTTCTTTGTTGCGTGGATAAGTTCAAAACATCTGGGTAATTTATTAAAAGAGGATTATGTTGAAGTTGAGAATAAATGTTGAAAGAACATTTAATACAAACAAATGAAAAATATTATATATGTTTATAAAGTAATACTGTAATCTCGTAGATAACAAAGTTAAAAAATACATAAAACATTTAATTTTAATATTAAAAATGCTACAATTAAAACTACTACTTCTACTTCAAATTCTTACAATGTATCAGTTCCTTTGTTGTTGGTTTAGGTACTGTAGCAGCTGAAACAATATTAATCAATTATTTTTATATTGTATACAATACTTCCTAAACAAATACCAAATCACAAATGCAGTAAATTTGACTTAACAGTAGACCTACCATATTTTTTTTTAAGCCAATCTTCTGGTACAGGACAGTAGGTACCAGTTGGGTCTACATCACCTAATGTTGGTACTTTGCTGGGCCTGCCAAGTTTACTTCTCCATCGCTGACCAGCCAATTTGTCTACAACAAATATACTTTTTAAATGTCTTAGTTTGATATTTTATTCAGTAGTTCTTATTAGACTACCTTCAAATTCTTCTTTTATTATGTTTGATTCATATTCTTTTATTGCATTTAGTAATATTTTTCTTTCCTCATCTTTAAGATGTAGAACAAGTTCGGTTGCGTGTACTTTTGTTAGCGGGCTTGATAACTGAGGAGATTCCTCAAAGTCTTTAGAAGTTGGGCCAAGCCCTAAATTTCGTACATTTATAACGATAGGGTGAAAGTCCTTTTTAGAGTTCTGAATACAACCGACAGTGGCACTGTAACTATGACGACGCGCTTGATATTCACTTAAAACATGTTGAAACTGTACACTAAACTTTAGAGGCGGGGCACTACTAAACCGTTTAATTGCCTTCATTAATTTCATAATAAATTATTTACAAATAAGTCGATAGGGTTCAATTAAGAATCATTATTCATGACTTATAGTAATGCTGAAGTCTTAACTCTTAACGTTAAACGTCTCACGTCACTCTTCTCAGTGTGAAGTGTGAACTGTGAATGATGGTCAAATAATGTTTACAATATTATTATTTACTTTATCAATCAGTGTCAATCGGTATTAAATTAGATATAATTGGAAAACGCACACTAGCTACATCTGTGGCCGTAGCCGTAGCGCAATTCAAGGATCTGTGATGCATTTGTATATTGTATAATTTTATCTGTGATTGTGTTTTTCTTCTACTTGATCTGTGGATTGCATTCATCTTAAATCTAATAGGTAATAAGGTCCTTTTTATAAGTTCAAACTTCAAATCCAAACAAGAAAAATTAAAAACTACTAGCAGTAAAAGTAAAATTAAGAAATAGCTTAAAAGAGAAGAACTTCTAATTAAAACCTGATTTATAACTTGTAAGCAATAGTGAAAGTTACATTGTTTAAGAAAGAAATATTTAATACTCTTAAATCCATAAATTTCATCTTTTAAATATATTACATTTATTGAAAACTAAAAATTTTGGGTGGAGTGTGTACAAAAAGAACAATGCATAATGTTGGAAGGACTAGTAGCTTGGGTTCTAAACAATTATCTTGGAAAATATGTGGAAAATCTCAATACAGATCAGCTGAGTGTAGCACTTTTATCAGGTAAGTAATATTTGAACTTAAATACAATACTGTCAATTCCTTTGGGGGAGAATCGGTTCATGGATATTGTTTATCAATTCAAGCATCATCTCTTTAAAACATCTCAATCAATTTGAAATTTTTAGGTAAAGTTGAACTTGAAAACCTTCCACTTAAAAAAGATGCACTGCGACATCTGGGTTTGCCAGTCGAAATAAAGGCAGGTTTTATTGGGAAGGTCCAGCTCCACGTGCCAGTACGGCAAATACGTTCTGTTCCATGGCTCATTGCTATTGAGAAGTTGTACCTTGTTGCAGCTCCTGTTAATTTGGATGAAGTGAGTAACTTGGATAGTGTCCAATATTTATTTATGTACCTTATACTAATGCAGTAGCCAATTTCAAATAATTTATTAAACAATAACCTAAATGTAATTGCAATCATTACCTTTTGAAACAATATTTGGTCTATTTAAAAATTAATTGACTGCACATAAAAAAACTTTCAGTGGGACAGTAACATAGAAGCATTGATTGCTCATGAGCAAAAGGTATCTGTTCTTGATGCACTTGAGGCACAGTGGCGGGCAGAACATGAGGCCAATGATGGTGGTTATTATGCAACATCCTACTCGTCATGGCTCAATTTTGGTACTGGTTTGCTGGCCAACATTGTGGAAAATCTTCAGGTGATGAATATTGAAAAAAAAAAAAAACAAAACAAACCCAAAAATTTACAATATGTGTCTGTGTCCACCTATATCCCTATACATAATATTTATAATACAAGCATTAAGGGCAAATTGTCTGACAGTGTCCCTATTTTTTGGTTAATTTGGGATTTTAAGAAGAATGGTAGGAAATGTTTTTTTCTACCATTTTTGGAAAAAGGTTCATTATACTTTAATACCTAGATGCCTATTTGCACCTCACGTTATAGTGTACTTAGTTTTTTTTCTGTTTCTACCTCCAACAAGTTAATTAAATTTATTTCCTACATTTGTAGGAAAAATTCTTAATTCAATTTGATTGTAAATTGTATTGTATGTATTTTGGCTCGTTGCAGTTAAAAATCAACGACGTCCATTTTCGTTACGAGGATGCCCTTACATGTCCGGGCCAATCGTTCGCTTGCGGCTTCACGGCCGAATCTCTGGCCGCAGAATCTTGCGACGCAAATTGGCAACGAGGCTTCACTCCGCTCTCCGAGCCGTGCTCCTTCAAATTGCTCGAATTAAAAAACTTGGCAATCTACTGGGATCCTATGCCGGTTCCTTCGGGAATGCTGGCGGAATGTACAATCGTAGAGCTTACCGTGAGCATTAAGAAAATATTAAAATAATATTTGCCCATAAAGTTCCACGTAAAGAGAATTATGTGTAACAGGAGCGCATGTCCGGCACGTGGGCGTCGGCGCATCGCTGGGTGCTACGGCCGGGCGGCGGCAGCGCACGAGTGCGCCGCGAGCGCACGGAGCAGCCGCTCAGGGACCGCGCCAGGCCGCGCCTCGTCTGCCATCTCACCCTTGACGCCGTCCTGCTGCGACTCACCTCTGTCGGTGCACTGCGACATACTATCACGATGATTTCACCCATGCCTAACATCAACTTAATTTTTCTCGTGTGCGCCGTTCCAGCGACAATACGGCGAGATGTGGGGCTGCAGTCGTGGGCTGGAGCGCGTGGGCCGGATCCGCGAGGCGAGAGTGTGGCGGCCGGCGGCTCCGCCCCGCGGTCACGCCCGTCTCTGGTGGCACTACGCCGTCAAGGCGCATCTGCCGCACCACCGCTGTAATTATTTTCCATCGCGTCACACGGTCGTTCGGATCCGAGTTACGGACGAGCGGTAACCGAACGGTGGTATCGCTGCGGACGGCTTAAACTGTGGCTCTCCTCAGGGATGGATCCGAAACCGACGTGGGAATCGTGCCTGGAGCGGGCGCGCGCGACGCGCCAGTACGTGGACATCTGCGCGAGCACGCTGGCCGATCCCGCCGCCACGCTGCATCCCGACCGCAAGCGGGCCAAAGACGACTACGAGTGGGCGAACTCTCTCGCCGTGCTCCGGCCGCTCCGAGAGGTCTCTCTTCCGTCGATCGGCTCCGGTGAGGGCGAAGGTCGAAGGCGTCTGCATGGATCGGTGTCCGCAGGTGGCGATGCGCAAGGTGCCGATGCGCAGCGCGGGCGGTGCGGAGGGTGGCGCGGGGCGCTCGGTGTTGGTGCGCTGGTTCCCGCAGTGGTGGGGTTGGTACGAAGGTTCGGAACCTGCGGCTCGCCTCGAGTCCGAAATCCTGCACGTCATCGCCGACTCGCTGGAAGACCCCGAGCTGTCGCGGCGCGACGCCCTCTCCGCCCTCTTCGAGTTCACGCTGCACGCCGGCTGCCTGGACGTGTGCGCCGACTCCGACGACGACGAGGGGTACGTCTACCCTCCCCACGCTTCGACGTCTCGTCGGGCAGCGGGCGGAATCTCGATTTTACGCGTCGTTCAAGGTCTAGCGGCGTGGGTCTGGAGCTCCAGTTCAGTGCGGTGCGCGTGCGCGTGGAGTCGCGGCCGTTGTCCCTTCACGCGTCGCTCGGCGCAGTCTGCGTGCGAGATCGCATCAACCCGCGCACGCTGTTTCCCATCCTCGTGGCGCCGCAGGTTGCTCTTCTCTTCTCTCTTTAAGTTAACCGCTCCAAGTATTTTTTTCCTTAACGCTAGTGTGAAACAGGGTACGATCAGAGAGGGCTTGAGCGCGGCCAATCCGACGACGACCGCCGCCGCCAGATGGGGTGCCCCCCGTCCCCCCGACGACGACAAAGAGCCGCTCTTCCAGCTGACCTACGAAAGGCGACCGCTCGGCTTCAACTGCGATCATAAGTGGGTATACGTCACCCGCGTCGGAGATGCGGCGGAGTGAGGCGCCCGGCTCACTCGGAGTTCGTTCGCAGATTGCGCGTCAAGTCGCGGTCGGTGGAGGTGGTGTGGTGCGCTTCGGCGGCGCGCTGGGCGGCGAGTTGGGCGGGCGCCGGTGCGGGAGCGGGCGGCGCCATCGCTCACGTGCGAGATCACACCCGTGCCACGCTGCTCAACCACTACGAGAGGCTGCTGCGCGCTCGACGCACGGTATGTCCGGCGGCGTCGCCGCGCCGTTTGGCCGCGACCGCTTTACTGATACGTCGGTCGGACGAACAGGGCGAGAGGCGGTCGTGGCAAGTGGAGCTGGACATATCGGCGCCGCAGCTGATGTTCGTGGAGCAGCTGCGGTCGCGCGACGGCGGCGTGGTGCTGGTGGACTTCGGCCGGCTCCGGCTGGCGAACGCCGCCCTCGCCGACGCGGCCGTCGAGGAACCGCCGCGAGCGCAGCCCTTCGACGACGACGAAGGTCCGTCCTCGAAGTCCGTATCGCGTTCGTACGGATGTCTCGTCGTAATTTCTAATCGTACGTTCGGTCCGGGCAGAGACGTTCATGACGCCGTGTTCGACCCCGCCGGGCAGCCTTTTGTCTCCGGGGTCGCCGCCGGACCCGCGCGGACCTCCGTCGCGTCCGCTCGACCCCGTACACCTGCACACCAGCCTCTACGACAGGTCTGTCGTCTCGTCATCGATCTCGGGACGATTTGAGTCAATTGAAAGAAACATAAAAAGGGTCGTGTCTGCGTCAGGTACAAAATAGAGCTGAGCGACATGCAGATCCTGGTGGGAAGAGCGCGGGACAACTGGAAGTACGCCCACACGAAGGCCACCTCCGCGCTGCATCTGTTGGACCGATTCAGTATATCGCTGCAGGTGGGTCGAAACCCAAGGCTACGCGCCAGAGGCGTGGCGGTGAATAATTGCGAAACTGTGGCAGGCGGAGCGGCGCGTCGTGGCCACGAGCGACCCGCAGTACCCGACCGCGGCGCTCTGCGGCTCGCTGCCCGCGCTCGTAGCGCATCTGTCCGAGCACAAGCTGGCCGCGCTTCGCGCCGTGCTGGCCGCGCAAGCGGACCCGCCGCCGTCCTCTCACGGCCCGCAAGCCGCCAGAGCTCCTCAATCGTACGTACGCCGCTCGTTATAGTACGAGATCCGGCAGCAGGATGAGTGCGTTCATCGGTTATTTGCTAAAAACTAATTTTTTTCCCAAACATCAATTCAAAATACTAGCGGCCCAATTTTGATAGGCAACTTGGTACATATACATATTGTACCAATAGAATATACATATATTCTCTAATTATAAATATACATAAAAATTAGGTTTTTACCAAATAACCGATGAACGCACTCATCCTGCTGCCGGATCTTAGACCATTACGTCTCGTAAAATGTTTGAGAAGTTAACATTTTAAGTAAAAAATTTTAGATTTCTCGAAGGTGACCCGGACGACGGCGACGGGGACGAAGAAAAGAGCGTGAGCTCCGAAACCGAGAGGTCCGAGTTTTCGTCGCAGAGTAACGCCACTCTCTTGGTGCTGCAGTTCGCCGTCGATCAGCTCTCCGTAGAGGTGAGGTGGGCGACGGAGGGAGGTCGCGGCCGGGGAGGCGCGAGACTTGAACGCGCGAGTGTCGCAGGTGCAGTCCCGAGGCCGCAGCATCGCGGAGGTGCAGGTGTGCGGCGTGCGGCTGGCGGCGGGGCTCGGGCCGGGCGAGAGCTCGCTGTCGCTGTCCGTGCACTCCCTTCTGCTGGTGGACGCGCTTCAGACCTACGGTCCGGACTTCGAGCTGCTCGTCGCGAGCCATCGTCACGTCGGGTCTGCGTCTTTGCCTTGCGCTCTCGAGCCTCTTCGTCTTCGTCGGAAACGCCTTTTCAATGAGAGATGTCGTTCCAGAATGGACACAACTTCGGGTAGCATCCGGGGCTCGGAGCCCACGTCTCCCACTTCTCCCGCTTCGCCCGAGACGCGAGAGCCGCCCGCCGCGCCTTCGCCCTCGGACCTGCATCGCGCCTTATACTCGCTCCACGACACCTGTCAGTACGCCCTGAGTATACTGCGTCCTTCGGTACTGTCCCAGGAGGCCGCATTGCGCACTCTCGACGATATTGCGTCTGAGACAGAACTCATCTCGAGGGTCGCATTATTAACTGGACGTTACTGTAAGAATATAAGGAAATAATAAATTGATAATTCCGTGAGTTTACACAGATACCGGGGCGACCAGTCCTTCAGGAGCCCGGGGCTTCGATTGGGACCCGAGGGCTTCGGGGAACGCTCGGAGTTCCGAAGGTCCCGCTTGGGTGGCGCCGGGCGTCGTAGACTCGGAGGCGCTCATCGCGGTCGAACTGTGTGTCGTCAGAGGCGAAGGGGGCTCCGAAGACCTGAGGATCGCTAATATTTTGTTTAACAACTTGGACGTCATCGGTGAGTTTGCTCTTCTAATGTTGAAATAAAATAAAAAAACTCGTCTCCGCGAATGTTAACGACCGAGTGACGTCACCCGTTGCAGCTAACCAGGAGACGATCGTGGAGTTGATCGGGTTCGCGCACCGCGTGGCAGGCGCCACTCCCGCCTCCGCCCCGGCCCCCGTTCCGCCGCAGACGCGATTCGAGCCCACCGGCGACGATCTCGAGGTAGGAGAAGCGAACGTGACGCGTTCGCGCCGTCGGATTGCGACTGACATTTTCTGACGGCATCCAGGTGGGCGTCCGCACGGAGATCACCTTTGACTTCCACCGGTTGGGCGTTTTGCTGCTTCGAGCTGCGGTGCGCGAGGGCGCCGTCGTCGCCAACAAGATCGCCACAGCCACGCTCGGGGACGCTCGAATTCAGGCGACCTTGCGTAAGACATTGACATTGAAAAGGGCGCGGTCGTCGGCGAAGGCCTCTCGGTAACCGCCGATTTAATTCGACAGACGGCTCTCTCGTCGAGGCCAGCGGATCCCTGGGCGGCGTGCAGGTGGTGTCCCTGTCGGAGGGCGCCGGCCTACACTCGCGCATCCTGTGCGCCGGCCGACCTCCGGCCGCGCCCCCGGGGCCCCTCGGGCCGCGCCAGCCCGACGCGCAGCCGGGCGAGGAGAAGGCGCTGCTCTTCACCGTATCCAGAAACGTGCGTCCGCCGGATCGCGACGAACTCCCCGGTGAGTGAGAGAGGCCTCCTGGACGTCGGACTTCGTTCGCGAACGAGACGTGACCTTTCGGGCGGTTCTCAGTGGTGGAGGTGAGCCTGGAGGTGCGAGTGGCGAGCGTGTGGTACACGCACTCCGGGCCGCTGCTGCGCGAGCTGCAGAGCTGCCTCACCGAGTTCAAGCAGTACTTGGCGAACCTGGCGCGGTCTATCCGCGCCGCCGCTGCCGATATGGCCATCGGCCTCGTGCACCCGAGGTGACAAACAAACATTTTTACGGAACCGACTCCTCGATCTTCAATGCCAGAAGAATAATTTCTGCCCTCGGATTTTAAGTCGGGATCGATCACTTTTATAAGACGATCAAAAAATTACTAAGTGTAAAGGGCGTGTCTAACTTTTACAGAACAGAGTCTCTGTACGCCAACCCAAAGCTGTCTCAATCCACGGAGGGCGTGTCCCCGCGGCGCCGCACCACCAGTCTGGGCTGCTCGCTCGACGAGCCTGACCGCGACACGCAACGATTGGTTCTAAGGTGTCTCGTTGTTCCCTCGCAAAAACTTTGAATATGAGAGCTTTTCACACCGGAGGCCCCGTCGATTACTTCGCAGGGTGTCGGTGTCGCTGGAGTCACCCGTGGCGGTCCTGCCGCGGTTCGCTCGCAGCCCGGAGGTGTTCGTGGCGCATCTGGGCCGCATGAGCCTCTCCAACGAGCCCGGATCTCCGGGGGACACGATGTACCAAGTGCGAGTGCGGGACATCTCCTTGGTCTCGGTTAGTATACTCTTCGCGACGTCTCTTTGTCTCCGTCGGTACCCTAACTGTTATCGATTATCCATTCGCGATCCCGATGCTATGTTGCACGCGGGCCTGAGCCAAGTGAGCATAGGATTTTTTATGGGTTATCTTGTAGGAATTTGCGCGTTAATCTTGCAGTATTTAAAATTACTTTTTCAAAGGTGATGGAAGTGGATTTCGGGAGGTGTCACAATTTGGTAGATTCTGTTTTGGGATTATTCCGGTGGGGGACAAAATATATAACAATAATATATGAACCCCAAAAAATTAATAAATATACATGAAATTATTCTAATTTTACATTTACTGCCAGTTCTCAAATCAAGGGCGTAGAACAGAAGAGAAGAACTCTCCGCCACTCTTTTTAATCGCCAAGATTTTTGTTTTATGTTGATACTTTCCACATCCTTTCAATTTACTTTGTAAGATTTAAACCAAAGACATTACAATAGCAGTAACCAAAAATGTCACTGAAATGATGGAAGAGAAATTGCAGATACTTGTATACGAAAACAGTTTTTTGAAAACTCAAGTAGAAATTTCTAGAAGAAAACGAAAAACGGAAGATCTTTGTGATATATGGAATAGAAGAAGAACAAACCCACTCTACAGTAGAAACCATCTTATCTTACGCAGGCTGGCGTGACTATGTTACTGCAATAAATAGTAAAGAAATTAACAACGGTTTCACAATTGGTCTCATTTCCTACATTTGTTAGCTGGAAAAGAAATGAGGTAATTAAGAATAAGACAAAACTACTTCCTTTTATATATTTCGATGAAGACTTTTCCAAACACTTTAGAAAAAAGAAAGTGACTTTAAGTGTCGCCGCACACGGGCCACACGCGACATCCACAAACGCCGCCACGAGAAGCTAGAAGCGGTTACAAAGGAAGCTGAAGCGCGCGACAGCCACTTGTGGCCGGTGGTCGACACTTGCGGTCGGTGGCTGCTACTTTTTTTAACCCTTGCGTGCAGTATCATAATGGACTCTGACGAAGAAGGTTTAATTGCGCTACTTTTGATAAAAAGACGTCGTCGTAGAAGACGAAACCGTAGTTATTGGATACACAGAAAGACATTAAATATCCCCTCACCACGACAGGTCGGTAATGACATTCCCAACTAAACATTGTTGTGATACTGGCCTCAGTGAAATATGATGAGGCCATATGCTGGACAATATTTGGACTTAGACAAAAAAGTTTTCAATTATAGGTGAAGCCGTGGCAGACGTTGCATTGAGTGTACCTTCGGCGTACTAGCAAACAAATGGAGAATATTACATCGCCCATTAAACACTTCTGTTCATTTCTCAGAAGACATTGTGAAATCTTGTTGCATTTTGCACAACTTTATCCGCAAAAGGGATGGTTTCAATTTTCGTCACACTTTGAAAATAGTGGGAATCGAAAATATACAAAATACAGGCTGGCCAGTAACACGAACGTCTACTGCAAGAGATACGCCAAAAGTTATTTTATGAATGAAGGAGCAATACCGTGGCAAGAAAATAGAATATAAATATATGGTTTTATATTATTTTATTAAACTTACCTTCAATGTTCTTTTCTTTGGCAGTTTTATTCGAAAAATTTCCCACAAACGATTCGCAGATTTCTTCCCAGGCCTTCACTTTTTCTCCTCTATTACTAAAACTATCACTTTTCGAATCCCAAATCGCAGGACGGGATTGTATTTCTGATATAAATAATTCTATATCCATATTTATCTACCTATATGAACCACAGACTACGTGCGTGCGTTACCGTCGACTTCAGGTTAACTGAGGCAAGGGAGAGAGGGGCGCAGAATCGCGCGAGTGGCGTGTGGCGGCTTTTTGTGTCGGCGTTTAGTGGCCGGTGCGAGCCACAAGAAGCAAGCTGCGACGATTTGTAGCGTGTGGCCGCCACCGGCGCCAACCGTGTGCGGCGAGTCCATATAAAATGTATGAAAATTACAGGAAATATGCCAGTGGCGGCGTTTTGTGGTTGTGGCCGGTGGCCCGTGAATTAAAAGAAGAAGGAAAGAATGGGAGGATTGCATTCTTTGGAGAGATTATCTTTTAGTGAAGGACTTCGGTGGAAAAAGAAAAAAAGCAGTACTGTGTCGACCCTAAAGATCTAAGCATAATATATCTAGCGCCGACTACAAGAAAAAATAACCACAATTTACTCAAGTCTATTCGGAGAGAAAACGAACAAAACAACATTGAACCTCCGGTCTGATAAAGTAACGCAGCGAATAAAGCCCTCACACAGACCTTCACAGCTATCAGAACTAAAACCATTTGTCACTGAAGATAAATTTCGAGATATTTTCAACAGAACTCATTGTGACAGTTAAGCGATTGGTGACATCGGAACTTAACAATCTCATGATATTGTTAATGATATGGTTTCTAAATTCTACAAAATTCTTAACACTGCTATAAATAAATTTGTTCCTAAAACGTCCAACGCGAAATCTAAAGATCCGGTCTGGTTCAGTTCCTCCTTAATAAAATAAATTGTTGAAAAAGAAAAAACGTAATAGGTATCGAATAAACAAGAACCCTCGAGACGAATTTGAGTCACAGAAACAGAAAAACGTTGTCACAAACTTTACGATGATATATATATATATATATAATCCTAATTGTTTTTGGAGTTTTATAAAAATTGAGAAAGGTGGTCAATCGCCGCTTCCCTCTTGCATAAAAATGAACTATGTTGCAGCCCAGTCATCCTGATATTGCTAATCTTTTTTCATATAATTTTCGTCTGTATATACTTGTGATGAGTTGAGTCCAGGTGATATTGGCAATGTTCATGGTCTAATGTCTCTTAGCTTTAGTGAAGATGACATATCTAAGAAAATACAACGACTAGATACCAATAAAGGAGCCGGGCCAGACTAGATTCCTGCTATCTTTGTAAAGCGATGTAGGCTTGTGTTATCTTTGCTCCTAAGTAATTATAATTAATACTATAATGGATTTCTTAAAGATTGTTTTTTTCCTGAATTTATTTATGTAAAAGGTAAAATTACCGTCCTATTTTTATTTTATCTTGTTCTTCCAAGCTCTTTGAATCTGTCCTGTATACCATAATCTCCAAAAGTATTGACGGCTTTATCACTGATAAGCAGCCTGGTTAAAGATGAGGGGCCGTTCAATTCAAACGAACCTCGTCTTTTATGACCGAAACATGTCACGAATGAGATGGTGGGCCCGAGATTGATCTAATCAGAATATATACTGACTTTAGCAATGCCTTTGACAAAGTCACTCACGCGATACTGATTCAGAAGCTATGTGGTTATGGAATTGGAGAAAACTTACTGAACTGGTTTAAGTCATTTCTTCGTAATAGGCCTCAGTCACTAGTTATTGGAGGCGCTGAGATTACTCTACATTGCGCGATGTGGTGTTCCCCAAGAATACTATTGGGACCGTTACGCTTCTTAATATTTGTTAACGACATTATTAATCATATAAAACACTTTAAATTTTCTCATAGGCATCCGTACCATCAGCAACTTAAGAGATTTAATATCATAATAAAAATAATAATAAAAACTTTATTTATGACAAAAGGGTTTATGACAGAATTCATATATCGCTAGTCCCCACACTAGGGAGGCCATGTGTTGTGGGTAACTAGAAAACAATTATAACGTGGTATATGTTTAAATTAGTTAAAAAAAATATGATAATAAAAATAATAATAAAAACTTTATTTATGACAAAAGGGTTTATGACAGAATTCATATATCGCTAGTCCCCACACTAGGGAGGCCATGTGTTGTGGGTAACTAGAAAACAATTATAACGTGGTATATGTTTAAATTAGTTAAAAAAAATATGATAATAAAAATAATAATAATAATAGTTATAAATTTAGTGTGACAAATGAAGTGAATGAGTGAGTGTGTGAAAAGGTGTGCATGCGCATGTATTTGATAGTGTAGCTGAAAGTTGTTAAGATCGTGCACTGTGTCTGTGTTAGTTTATGAAACCTCAAAGTCATACCAAGATATGTAGTAATGTGCCTCTGTAGATTCGAAATCCAATTTGGCTCGTGTAGTTTCTATGTGACTTGCTAATTTATATCTGGATAGTTTTACGATCTCAGAATCCATAGATTCGGGAATTTTATTATAAAGGAAGGGGCCCCTAAATGCAAAGAAGCGTTGACCAAACACAGTCCTTCGTTTTGGCGTTGGGAATACAAAACGTCTGCTCTTAGATGTGTCCTGATTTGTGAGCCCATGGAATCTATGATATCTTGAACAGGTCGCCAAGATGTTAAGCTTCCTTACCGAGAGGGTTTTTGTTTCTAGATGGAGTTTGACTGTGGGGTATCTAAACTGTCTGCGATAGTCTGTGCACGTTCCAACTTAATTAATAAAGATTCAGCCGCTCCTCCCCATGCCGATATACAGTATGTGAGAATGCACTGACAAAGTGCTAAATAAATTATTCTAATAACTTCGTCGGCAAATGAATAAATATTTCCGTTGTCCAGTGACAGACTGCACAGGTCGTTGATATATATTAAAAAGAGGGTCGGTGCAAGCGCGCTGCCATTATAATTAATACCATCTAGTATATTTTTTAGATATAGTATTTTACATGATATGGTAAAGTTGAATAAATAAATAACAACAAGTTAATGAAAAACTACCTCACCCCGGCTAGTCACCGTGGAGGAAGAAGACTACCCTTCAAATCCCAAAGTAATAAATTAATCTCTTAAAACCAACAATAACAAAAAAGACAATCAACATCTGTACGTATATATTGCAATATTTATTACACACACTCTAAGTGTTCTATGCTATGTTCACGTGTAACGCGCGTTAACGCGCGTCAACGCGCGATCAAATTTGAAGAGAGTTCAGATGATGAGCGATAATGCGCGTTGCGAGAGTACTCGTCAGGCTAGTTCGGTAGAACGTTGAAAATGGACGTGGAAGAGGCTATTATTTTGTGGTTATATTATAAAGAAAAATATAGAAAAAGAAAACGTACACATTGGGTTCATCCAATTTTGAAAAAAAAATACAAAATATATTATATTTTTAATACAAATTTGCTATATTCCAACTTGCTGGCCTTTTTTCTACTTTATCGATGTCAATATCTTCAATTTGACTCATTTTAAATGCGAGAACAAAATATAATTACGAAAATTAACAAAATTACATGCGATCGCGATGAAAGCGCGCGCTCAACTGAACAGCATACGGACATTACATTAATATCAAAGCGCGCGTCAACGCGCGATCACCTGCGTCTAGAGACTTTTCTCTGAGCGCCGCGTTGACGCGCGTTAACGCGCGCTCATGTGAACAGTTGTGTGAAAATACCACAATGTCTAGTCGCGCGTTTTTAAACGCGCGTCAAGTTTTTGCCATCTGAACATAGCCTAAGAAAGGAAGAAAGCCTTACCGAGCTAATAATAGCATTAGAAAAAGTTCATTGGTCCATTATAAGCCTTAGCGAAGTTCGGAGGCTAGGGGAAGAGGGAAGACTATGGTAATTTCGTATATTATTTTAAAGGCAAAATACCAGGCAAATACGGAGTCGGATTTTTTACCAAAAAAGAACTGAAAAAGAATATCGAGGTGTTTGTGGGAATATCAGAATGAATTGCTATTTTGAACATTACAATATTAACAGTACATATTTTTTGCCCTACGGAACAAGCCAGTAAAGTGTGTATTCTTACTACGCAGACCTTATAATGCTCAACTAGGTAAGAGAAGAAAAGGAAAATAAATTATTCTAGGCTATTACTGTACAGGGAAAAGTAACAGGAATGGAACTAAACTTAGAGAATTAGCATACGAAAATAATTTAAAAGTTCAGAGCTAAACTAAAAGTAAATTTGATAAAACTTCAATGCTAAGTCAAGAGAATCTAAACATCCTTCCGGTAATAACAGCGAAAATAAAGAAAATTTAATGTATAGGTATGTTATTTAAAGCTGGCGGCTTCAACACATTTACACTTTGTGCTTGTGTAGTGTCTGTGAATAAGCGCGAGGCGTGATGTCAAACTGAAATACAATCACAAATACATCATGAAAAGACTGTCCGTCTCTCTCGCGCTCGGTCAAGCTTATGAGTATAAAAGAGACAGTTATTGTTTTGCTTTTGCTACTGTTTATCTTGATCTTTACTATACATGTTGATCTTTTTTCAAACATTACCAGGGCAATCTCGTGAAATGGTGCACAATGTTTTTAATTATTGTAAGCATCTTAATAAAAACAGTTTAATGAAAAAAAAATTATATTTCATTTGACATCAGATGCAGAAAGCTGAAAGCTGATTTGATTTTTTTTTGATTTGTTGAAAGCTGGGTTCACCACCATACTCCTGAATCAAAGCAACAGTCCAAACAATGGAAAATATCTGGATCACCTACTCCGAAAACGGCTAAGGTCGTTTTGTCGACCAACAAAGTCATGGCTAGATGGAGCGTATGTCGAAAAATGAAAAATTATTTACACGAACTACTCTTTCACGTTCTTGGTCTGGCTTAGAACTTTTGGATCCACCCTCGTATGCACCTAATATTTATATGTATTTGACACATTTTTATTTATTTACAACCCACCCAAGGTTGCATACGATGTCAGACGATACTTTTTTACTCCTTAGTCAAAAACATTAATTAATTAAATTGGAAAATAAAACGAAATAGAAGGAGAAGAAATATCAATGATTACTAAACAAATTAAATTATATTTTAAGGATGACAGACAAAAACTGAGACTAATCTCAGTGTATGTCTAAATTGGATCCCAAATATCCAATAGAGGATATAAAATAACAAAAGGGCCGAATATTGTCTTGACGGCGACGGCATCCATAAATGAAGGAGAAACTAGACGAAGGAGAAGAGATAATACCTAATATATTGCCAAGGGAGTTAGAAAGGACTATCAAGAGTCTTAAGCAGGACAAAGCGCCAGGTCCAGATAAGGTCACCAAAGCTTTTAATAGGTCTAAAAGAAATTTTGGTACCTACCGAGATAGTCAGATCGTAATCAAATTTGATCTGGGAACAATGAACAAAGTGGACGATAAAACTTATACATAAAAAGGCAAGACTGACAGCAACAATTACGGGCCCCAGAAGTAGATAGATATACAAAGTATTCGTTAAAATAATACTGCATAGAGCACGCCGGTTTAATAAAGTTTTTTCTTTCTTTCTTGCTCAAAGTATTGAGAAATTGCCCTTCGCAACTTCCTTGCTTCGGCATACCATATATATTAATATATTATTTTGTTTGACCGATAGCTAGACGTTAGCGAACGGCTGAAGCGACAGGAGGCAGGCGGCAGCATGCAGCGGCTGTACGATTCGGAGGGCGGGAAGCCCGTACTCCACGACACGGCGCTTCAACTCGCCATTACTCTCAGTAAGGATGACGGGAAGCCACAGGTTAGTTTTTACGGTTCCTCGTGGATTGATGCAGTGTACATTTCGCGAATTTCCGACAGCATTTTCAGAAAAAGAAAATTAAGAAGCGAGAAAGTGTCCAGCGTTCTAGTATAAATTCGTCGGTCACTTCTTTCACACCGTTTCCTAGTTTAGCTTCGCGTCTTTTTATTTGAAGAATATAAATCGTGTCCCCCACCTCGCAGTGCGCCGTGGCCGGCGGTGTGGTTGGCGGGCTGCACGTGACGGCGAGTCGCGAACAGTACGAGCAGCTGCTCGACACCGTGCGCTGGATAGCCGTCGACGCCCCCGACCGCCCCGACGAAGCTGCCGCCGACCGTGTACGAGAGGTGCGTATTTCTAGACATACCTCGTTCCAGTTTCCCGTCGCCAGTTGCTTCCTAAACTGACGATAAAACGATCGAACCCGCAGACGAGCACGCTGTCGGAGCCGTCGGTGCCGACGCTGCGCCTGGACCCCGCGGTTCGCGCCGCCGTGCTCGCCGTCCCGCCCCCCGCGGCCGCTCCTTCGCCCGTCGCCTCGCACGCTCCGTACACCGGTGAGAAGTCGCAGAGCGCACGCGTTCGCTTCGCGACGGCGACCACGACTCATACGTTCCGTTGGTCGTTCGCAGTGACGTTCGAGTTGTCGACGTTCATCGTGGAGCTCCGAGCCGATCTGGGTGCGGGGGAGCGCAGTCTGGTGGCGCTCACGTTCCGGGAGTTCCTGCTGCGTCACGAGCGCCTACACCCGCACGAAACCGCCTTGCAGGTTAGCTATGACTCGGTTGGTATGAAGCGGTTTGTTTTATCAGGCTAACCGTCGGCGTCGTCGACAGGTGTCTCTCTACTCGATAACTATGGAAGATCTGACAAAGGAACCGGATTCTCGGCACCGGACGCTAATGGAGTCCCACTCTCCGCCGATGCCGCCCAAAGCCGTGTTCGTGTCGAAGTCTTGCCCGGATTTTTCGTGTCACCTGGCTTCGGCCGCCTCCGCTCTACCTCGACTCCGGCCCGAACGGCCGGTCAGGACGCCTTCCTTGCCTTCCGGCTTCAGTGTAGTCGACAAAATGACTAAAAAGGAGGTAAGACAGCGAAGGAAAACATATCTGTGTTCCGTTACTTACACACAACATAAAATATACTTAAAAGTCTTATCCCATAGTTTATTGCGTTCGCTAAATAACTTTTCAGCACTTGCGGCAGAAACAAGACAGCAAATGCGGTCCGACTCCCCCGTGTTCGCCCGTGGAGGGCGTTCGGGACGCGGGTGGCGGGGCAGATGAGGCCGAGGGGGAGAGAGAGGACGACAATCTGGTGTGGGTGTCCATACACACCCGGGATCCGCAACATCCGCTCTTCGACAGCCAATTCGATAAGGCAAGCTCGGCTAGCGCCGCTCGCGTTTTAGACACGGGATACGGGCACCCTATGTGATAACCTAACCGTCTCTTATCTCTTATTCGACAGGTTTCGAGAGTGACGAAAGTGGAATTCAATTGCCTCAAGTTGGTTCTCAGCATCGACAGCTGGGTGGCTGTCCTGGACTTTTTCGGCGTAAACGAGGCCGAACGGGATACTTCCGAGGTCGACGACAATGGAAAAGGTACGTCTAATAGTCCAGGCTAGCGATTCATTAACGATTGGACCGTCGACGATATTTTGCTTAAGCGACTCGTGTTGATACAAGACGTGGGTGACGACGCCGGCGACAAGGCGGCGGCTGCCGAAGCCGAGGGCGGGGTGTCGGAGACGGAGATCCGTGTGCGCTCTCTGTCGGTGGTGGTGGTGGGGGCGCGGGGCGACGCCTGTCGCGCCTTGGTGTCGCGCGTGGCGGCGCAGGTGCGAGCGCACCGGGCGCCAGCCGAGCGGCACGTGCGGGCCTCGCTCGGCGCTTTGCTGGTCTCGGACTTGGCACCGCGGGCTCCCCTCTGGCGAGATCGCCTCCGCACGAGGGCCGAGAGCGCGCTGACTCTGCACTATCACCGGTGAGAAGCCGTTCGTGTTTTATGATTTGTTTCGTGGTCCAAAACTTAGAAGCTTCCGTTTTCCAGATTGAGTTCCGAAGGAGCCGGCGCGACCGGGTACGACACGAGTCTCGAGCTCGAGATGGGTCCGTTGACGTACGTCCACACGCGCCGCTTCGTGTCCGAGTTGCAGGCGTTCGCGCGCGATTTCAGTCTCTTGCGACACGTCATCGTTCAGGCGCGGCGAAAGGTCGGTTGTCGCTCGAGAACATATTTGCGATCGAGCCGTCGGTCACTCGAATAACGTAAAGCTTTCCGCGAAGGTGTCCAGCGTCGCCCGCGACGCTTCCCGGTTCCAGCGCATGTCGCTAAAGGTGCGCTGCGAGTCCCCGGTGATCGTCGTGCCGGTGTCGGGGCGAAGCCGCTCGGCTCTGGTGGCCGAGCTCCGTTCGCTTCACGTCGACAATCGCTTCGCACGCGCCGGAGACTCGGACACGGTCAGCGTCGTGCTAGACCCCGCCAGACGTGAGTGTGCTCGCCGATTCCCTTCGAGTCGACTCGAGTCGTCGGATATGACGAATGTTTGCCCACAGCGGAACGAGAGCTGCTAGACGTGCGCGGTATCCGCTTGGAGGGCGTGTCGGTGTGGTGCGCCGAGGGGGGGGCGGGCCGGGGCGGGCGGATGCGTCGCTGCGGCCCGCCGCTGCTGCCGGCGCCGACGCGACTAGTCCTGCAGATGGAGACCAACTGTGACGACACGCACAACGGTGAGGTCGCGATTCGCTAAAGAGAGAGAGTCGAGAACGCTCGTAACGATCGATTAAACTGTTCGCAGTGGCCGACGTGACGATCCACGGCACTCTGACGACGTTACAAGTGTCGCTCGACGCGGCGCAGTACCGGCTGATACGCGGCGTGCTCGCCCACAACTTGGGCGAAGCCTGCTCGGAGCTGGCGGCCGTCCCGGAGCCGGCGCCGCGACCGCCGCGAGGTGGGTCTAGGCGAGATCGCGAGCGAATCGGACATCTCTGCGAACCGCGGTGACCGAAGGCTTGTTTTCAGGCGCCCGACGCACTTGGTCGCTGCGCTTGGAGTTGCAGAACGTGCAGGTGGAGCTGCGTCGGCCTTCGGCGCCGCCCTTGGCCTGCGTGCATTTCATCCGCTCGCGGCTGTTGCTCGACACCTACTCCGACACCAGTCAGGACGTAGACCTCGTGTCGCAGGTTCTCAACTGTTCTAGCGTTTAGAATCCGCGTGTGATATTGACGACGTAAAATTTCTAAACGTAATTTTAAAAATGGGTCAATGGGCATATGCAAAGAGTTAGTTTAGTTGTAAAGCTCGATCCGTGTTATAAATAGGTAAACGTGTGCCCGACAGGAAATCCTGGTGAGCGACAGCCGCTACGGCAGCGAGCCGGCCAACCGGAGAGGCAACGTCTTCAGCCGCATCGTGCAGCCGCAGCCCGACCATCCGCACACCGTCCAGGCCGAGCTGCACGCCAGGTGGGGCACGCCTCTCTAGACGAAAACCATATCGATCCTAAATACCATCGCTGAGGTGTTCCAAAAACATAACATTATTTCTCCATTCAGAAAATTTGCTTTGCTTCTTAGAGTGGATCTGTTCTTATATAACTAACAGTCGGTGGCGCAAAAAGTGATTTTTAAGTACCGTCACTAGGGTTAATCGAGAATCGATTATGGGCCCGTTACTGTTCAGCGGTTTTTAATTCGGTTTTATATTTACTTGCTTTCAAATGCCCAGCAAATCGCTTTCGCCGAAAAAGAAAGTCGTAAAAGCAAAATATTTATTTTTTTGGAAAAATAAAAGAAGGTAAATTACGAGGATACTGAGTACAAATAAGTCAAATTTGTCCCTTTATGTTTGATGCTATCATTTCAGTAAAGTTAAATTAGGTAAATTTTTGTAGCATAAAGACATCCTTGCGGTTTTTATTATTAAAATGTTTTGCAAATATTCTTAATAAATTACAGTTATAGTACATCACCCAAGGAAGTCAAAAATGAGAAAATATTAAAACTTAACGATATTGTTTCCCGGGCAAATGAAATATTAACACAAAGAAATGTCAAAAGATTGCATTTTCGCGCATGCCGAATGCAAAAAGATTTTTCAGATCACTCACCCCCACACACCTTAACCAAAAAATGAATACTACATGGTCTTCGTTAGTACATAATGTTCTTTGTCTATGTGGTGTATTAATTTTAAAAAAAGCTGTGGGTTATCATTAAACTGTTAAATAAATAAAATAAACGTTTCGACAATTGTATCCAGAAAACGTCCAGATTCTTCTGCGTACACGATAATGGTAAACAACATGCGACTGATGGCGATCCTCGACTGGTGGGAGGCGGCCCACCAGTTCATCATGCAGCCACCGCCGCCGCCGGCGGATCCCGACCATCTGCACTTGTGAGTTTCTGCACCCATCTATCCGCAGATATAGCTTCGTCCGCCTAAACTGAATACGCTCTCTGTTTAAGCAGTGAAGAGTCTGAATTTGGCCCGGAGCTCGAAGGAACCGCTAACGCAGTCAAGCGCGCGACTCGCGAGGTCCCCGAACAGATGGAACTCAAGCTGAACGTGACCGATTCACAGCTCGTGCTCGTCGAAGACGCCTCCGTCTGGGACACCAACGCCGTCATACTAAAGGTTACTGTTTATAGCGCTCGAATCTAGTAGTAGGGAAGCGGGGATTCCGAGATTTAGTACAGCGTGGCAGATTAATAAACAGGGAGATCTCATGTACCCGCCCGTCAAGGATAAGGGATCAGATTAGTTTAAAAAAATTAATCATCAGACTCTCTGAGTAGGGTAAAAAAAGTCAAAAGTTATAAACGTCAAAAAAGAAATATACATTAAATTTTACATTTACTGCTAGTTCTCAAATCAAGGGCGTAGAACGGAAGAGAAGAACTGGCAATAAACTCTCCGCCACTCTTTTAAATCGCCAAGTTTTTTGTTTTACACAACGTTGAGTTAATTACATGCTAAGAAGTGTATATTTCACTAATCAGACGTTTTGCAAGTAACGTTAAGAAAGGGGAGGGCTGCAAAGTAAAAAAAACGTCATCTCGACATTCTCGGGCGACATGACAAAAAATATATAATCTGAGGAAGCCAAAGTCACAAGTTCACAAGCCGAAGTCAGAAAAATTCGTCGATAAAGTTTAATACGTGCGGCTGCGTGATGCCTATATTAGTGTACAAATATTAACTATTGAGTAATATTTTATAAAGTAAAAAAAAGGGTGCGTGTACTTATGTACGCGCGTAAGAAGTTATACTTCTTTGGCATTATTAAAAATAGTTTTTGATTGCATGCACATAATTAATTACAATTAAATAATCAAAGACTAGAAAAGGAGTCATTATAGTCAATAAAGTTCAGTTTACATTTGAAAAATTAAATAAATGAATATTTATTATTATTCTCTTACATGAAGTGTAACATAAATTCTATTATTATTCGAATGTTGTATTTAAATTATGTCCAATGCCGTAGCATCTTCCGTGGGCAACTTCATTCTGTTAATTTTGTGTCACGGTGCGCGCGCATCGTAAAAATTCACTCTCATCAATTTTTCATAACGTGCCTAAAGAAGTATAACTTCAAAAATACGTAGGACATGGATGCTATCAAAATCTGACGCGCTCGAGTATGTCCATGGCACAGTTCCTTTTTACATTTTTGAAAATCTACAGCTTCTCCCCCCCCACCGATAAAAAGGTATACATTATATAACATTTTTATCTTATTATTATCTAAGCTTCGCAACCCAATAGGTCTCTATGACGCTCGAGTAAATCTCCATTTAGCATCGTGGGCTCCCCTGCTATAGCGTTCCACATTTGCCTTTACTCACCTTTCGCGTTCGTTGAATCCAGAGCACGACAGTGATAACGTACCGCGACGGCGACTCGGGACGGGGCGTGGTGTGCGAGGTGAGCGAGCTGGAGGTGTTCTCGTGCGTGCTGGGGATGGAAGACGAGACGGCGCTGGCCATCTTGGACCCTGCCGCGCTGCACCTGGCGCTGCACGACGACGCGGCGCTGCACGTTAGTCCTTTCACTTTGCTCGCATGGATTTCGCAATATTAGTACAGCCGACAAAACGCTTACGCCCGTGTCGACGCTAAACCTTCGATGTCCCTTTCTAACTAAAGCGGTCGTTTCCAGGTGGACATGGGTACCGTCAACCTTCGGCTGTCGTACCACGACATGCGCATGTTCGCTGCGATGCTGCAATCGCTGCCGGCCCAGGCTAGATTGGCGCTATCGGGTGAGTCGGATGAGCGGATGTCGTATTCTAGCGGACGAGTGTCGGGCGGTACACGAAAGTTTTCGAACGCAGATAAGACGGAGGCGGCCGTGTCGTCGGACGAGCCGGCCAACAGCGTGCACATGCGCGCGGGCACCTTGGTGGCGCCGCGCTGGCTGCGCTCGCGATCACGCTCGCCGCCCGCGGCCGTGGAGCCCGAGCCGCAGAGACCGCTGCGGTCCCTACAGGTGACGGCCTTCTCCTCGCGGTGGCGTCGTCTGTGCTCGTTCACGATTATGTCGATACGACTCTGTCTCCAGGTGACTGCCGACTGTGTGACTTTGTGCGTCATCGACGACTGCTTGGACTCGGACGTGCCGCTGCTCGAACTCTCTCTCGCCGATCTGCAGCTCGAACAAGTCGGTGCCCTCGTTTCGTACTATACGCGCATACGCGAATAGCCTGCATAGCTTACGTACGTTTTGTTCAGGACTTGAGAGGTGTAGAAGAATCGTTCGAAGACCCTCTGCTGGTATCGACTCCGTCGAGCCCGACGAGCACGGCGCTAGTGGAGGTGCGGAGGCCCGCCGCGGGTGGGGGGAGGCTGAGGGCGCTGCTCACCCTCGACTACTACAACAGGATGCTCTCGGGCTGGGAGCCCGTGGTGGAGCCCTGGAGGTGAGCATCGGGCCCGCGGCCGACGCTCGTCGGTCACCCGGGCCCTACGACGCGATCGACTTCCAGGTTCGAGGGCCGCTGGGAGTACACGTTGTCGAGCGCGCTGTCCTTGCGGCGGCTGCAAGTGGAAGTTTCGTCCTCCGAGATCCTCGACACCAACGTCACTTCGGCGCTCATCGACCTGGTGCGGCTCGTGAGGACCAACTGGACCGCCGATTACTACGCTCCCCAGGTCGGTACGATATGTCTCGTCGCTTCGGCCCGACCCGATCCACGAGATATAACATTCCAACGTCGGCACAGGGCTCCGGACCGGCCGATCAATCGCCGAAGAGCAGCCCTGCCGGACATCGACGCCGGTCGCCGTTCGTGCCGTACGCCTTGCGCAACCTCACCGGCCTGCGGCTTTGGTTCACCACTCTCACCACCGCTTCGGACGAGTGAGCGCTCTTACCGATTTCCGTTTTGAAAGGAGGCCGTTGACGTTTGAGCGGTGAATATGTCGTATGCGATGCCAGGTTACGCGAGGGCGGAGAGGCGGCTCCGTTTTCGGGACCGGACGACTCGTGGGTGAGCGTGCGCGCCGGGGACACGGAGCCCTTCTCGTTCGGAGCTCGACGGGGTCGCGCCCGGGGCGCTCCCGCGCCGGGCCCCGCGGGCCCTTCGACTCTCGCCCCGCTGCATCGCCTCGTCGTCAGAGTGGACGGCTGGTCGCCGCTGGACCCGGTGTGCGTCGACCGCGTCGGCGTCTTCTTCAGGCTCGTCACGCACAACGTGAGTACTTAACGTTTTCTCTCGTCTGCGACACGTTAAAAACGGGCACCGTGCGGCGCTAACGGAAGTCGTCCTCGATAGAAATCCGGAGGCGAGGCGCGTCTGGTGCTGGAGGTGTCGTTGGAGGGGTCGGCCCGTAAGCTGGTGACGGTGCGTTCCGCGCTCTGTCTGCGCAACGACCTGCCTCACCCGGTCGACGTGCGTCTGCAGCACCCCGGTCCGCCCGCGCACGCGCACGGTACGCCCGCTTTACGCTTCGGTAGACGTGTCGAATCGTCGGATTAGGTTAGCAGTGGCGATGTACCGCGGCGGGTAACAGTCCGGTCGGTGCAGAGCGGGGCCCGATGCGGCGTCTCGGCGGTGCGGCGGTGCACGCCGCGTGCGCCGCACTGCAGCGACGAGCCGCGCTCTGCCCCGCGGCTCTGTCGCGCCCGACGCCCGACTCGTCCGTTTTCCTCGGCTGCGGTACGACGCATCCGTCCATGACGCCGGTGACTCGACTCGGTCGCGTCGTCGAGACCGTTCTCGGTTTCACGATTGATGTTTTATCGCATCGTCGTAAAGTCGAGTGACCGGTTCGTCGTTCATTCGCATTTCGTAACCGTCGACGATACATGAATCATCGCAAATAGAATAACTAATTCACGAGTAGAGAGCCACGTACGGTAGTTTCGTTTCACCCGTTCCGTTTTGAAACGTCTTGGAGTTGACGAGTTCGGACGGTTTAAGGCGAGTGGGGCGCCTCGGGGTCCGGTCGCAATGCACAAGTGGCGGCGGGCGGCTGGTGGGCGGCTCCGCTGAGCGAGCGCGACGGCGTGCTGTGGACGAGGCCGCTGGTGCGCTCCGTGCGGCCGCTCTCCCCCGCGCCCCTCGACTGGCGCGCCGCGTCCTCCAGCCCGGCCCTTCTTCACTACGAGTGCCGCGCGCCTCACGACTACGTCTACAGGTGCCATACGTCGCTTTCGCCGCTTTCGCTCTGTCTGCGTTTCGTTTGACGACGGTTTGTCGCCGTAGGTTCTGCTGCGTGATCGTCCGCGAGCGGTTCCCGGCGGAGCGGGGCGAGCCTCTGGCGGGGCACACGCTGCGGCTGGTGCCGTCGCTGCGCGTCGAGAACCTGCTGCCCGTGGAGTTGCAGTACCGCGCCGGCTCGCTCGCCGGCACCCTGGCCGCCGGCATCACCGAACCCGCCCATCGGGTGAGCTTCGGTCGCTCTCGACCTCGGAACGGCGCTCGGGAAGTATTGGTAACGTAATTAGAAAAGATCGAACCGACTCTCGTACGTTGCAGGTCGACGTGGTAGAAGGCGTGGAAGTCGCCGTGAAGCTGGAAGGGTTCGGCTGGTCGTCGCCGCTGAGCGTGGGCGGGGGCGCGGACGGTTCCTTTTCTGCGAGACTCAAACTGCGAGACACGAAAGGCAGGAGGCTCTATCTCAACGCACGCGTCACCGTGAAGAAGACCGACGGAGTTAAGGTGAGAGACTCCTTAGAGAGTATGAGTATTAGATTTAGAAAGTCAAATTCTACATTATAACATTGATTTAAAAAAGCCGCTAAAACAGTTTTGTAGGCAAGATGGCGAAGTACCGGTCCTCATGATCTAAGACAATTAAAGTAATAGACCGGCAATGTTTGTATAAAAAAATTATACTGAATATTCTGACAATATCCTATTTCACCATGCCTCCTGCTGATAGAGGACAAATCTTTGTTTTTAATTAATTTTATTATTATTTATTACCTAAGATGTCATGTGGAACATGGTGTAATGGTTGCACCTCCTTACAAACGTTGTGTAAAACAAACATTTGGCGATTAAAAAGAGTGGTGGAGACTTAATTGCCAGTTCTTCTCTTCAGTTCTATGCTCTTGATTTGAGAACTGGTAGTAAATGTAAAATAAGAAGCATTTCATTTTTTTTACTTTTGACGTTTATAGTTCAGTTAGTGGGATGGCGACACTGACAAGCAGAAATCCTTGTTATCATTAGTCTAAGGAAAAATTCAAGATTCAATAATTGCGAAGTTTTGCTTATTTCACCACTTTACAACATAAATAATTAATTTAAATAAGATTTTTCATCTAAACCATGAATGTGAATCATATCCTCCCCGGTTCAATATACCCTTAATTAAATGTTTGAAAGAAAACTTAAATATCACAACAGATATAGGCTGTATCCAAGAGATATTGTACGGTTCCTGGGTCATCAGGGGTTCGAAATAATAGAATATTTTTAACTTACTCTATATTTATCACTCGCGTAATACAATAGAATATGAGCGAAATAATAGTAATGTTAATTGCTATATAATGAGTGCAATTTAACAATCAGAGAGAGTGCCGACGTCTAGCTATGCTCCCGGGGTGAAACTCCCATGGTATTGTTAATTGTAATGAAACGAATGACTGCTGTAACAGTCGAAGAGAGTGCCTGCGTCGGGCTATACTCTCGGGGCGTGACTCCGACGATTTAGGAAATCGTCATGCTTATAAGTGATCAAACTGTACAGCCAGGGCACGTACATACATAAGAAATAGTTATGCTTGTAGATGATCGGAATGTACGAGCCTTGGCACGTTCATAAGGAATCATCACGATTATAAAACTAAGGAAGCCTGAGCGAGCAAAATGTACAGCCTTGGCTCGTACAGATATATTAAGCCGAGTATGATGAAATGCTTAGGGAGAGCTATATAACATTTAAAGAGAACGCTGCCGAACTCAAAATAACTATATTCATATATGTAACCAAGTACACTTATGAACGTCAACAGAAAAGATGTTAAATTGATTCTAAATTTACATCTAATATATAAAATTCGTGTTTGTAGTTGAACTCCTCCGAAACGGCTTGACCGATTCTCATGAAATTTTGTGTGCATATTGGGTATGTCTATACTAATAAAAATAAATAAATAAGAATAAATTACATAATGCAAAAGCTTAATTGGACACATAAATGTATAATTATTGATGGTAATTACTTAAACAACTTAAGATTCGCTGATGACATCGTTTTATTCTCAGAAACATCACTACAATTAGAGGAAATGATAAACGAACTCTGTTCTATTAGCCGAGCAATAGGATTGGAATTAAACAAAAACAAAACAAAAATAATGACAAATCACGTACAAGATCCTGTCCAAATTAATGGATACCCCTTAGAATACGTGCAACAATACATATATTTGAGTAAGGAAATATCTTTTAAAAATTCACGGCATCATGACGAAGTTGATAGGAGAACTAGGATGTCATGGAACAAATTTTGGGGATACAAAGAACTACTGAAGGCAGAGATACCAATATACTTAAAAAAGAAAGTCTTAGACACGTGTATATTGCCATGTCTTTCTTACGGTTGCCAATCATGGATATATGACTCGAACACAAATAGAAAAATAACAACTTGTCAACGAGGAATGGAACGCAGTATACTCAATTTAAAACTGAAGGACAAGATCAGAAGTACTCAAATAAGAAACATAACAAAGGTTATTGATGCACTGTCCTATTGCAAAAACTTAAGTGGAAATGGGCGGGCCATACCGATATATATATATATATATATATATATTTATATATATATATGTATGTATTTTATGTGTGTGTGTATATTTTGTAACTTTTTGTAAACTTTATTTTGTAAATTTTTCAAGGAATAAATGAGGCTTAATTATTATTATTATTATTATTGGGTATGTCTGAGAATCGGACAACATCTATTTTTGATCCCCCTAAATGTAATTTTTTTTTTTTTTATGATACAGCATTAAAAAATACATACAACCCCTAATTTTCACCCCTCTACGATCAACCCCTATCTTTTATTATAAATGATATACATGGCAAAACGACGTTTGCCGGATCAGCTAGTTTAATATGTTCGCAAGTCAAGGGCGTAGGGCGGGCAAGAAGAACTAACAAGAAACTCTCCGCCGCTTTTTTCAGTCGCCAAGTTTTGAGTCATACAAATTGTTTAAACTGGAGCAAATCAATCCCTAGGATTAATATTATTAAATAATCGTCAAATTTGTAGCTTTATTGATTTACTTTTGACGAGAGTTTTGAATTTATTCAGTGATAATTCTCTAATTTCGCTTGGGAGTTTGTTGTAAGAATTTTGTAATTACGGTTATTTATTAGGTGATATATTGGACGACCCACTAAAATAATAAACGAATCTCGCTATTCCGTGGACGTAGGTGTCGATATCGGCGGCTTACTGGCTGGTGAACCGTACGGGGCTACCTTTGGTGTTCCGGGCGGAAGGCGGCGGAACGGAGGCGGCGGGGCAGTTCGGCGAGCACGAGGTGGCGCGCATGGTGGCACCGTTGCCCTTCGCTTTCGCCGATGGAGACGGACCTACGCTCAGCGCGCGCCTCGGCACCGCCGTCGTAGCCAACCCCGAGGTGAGTTCATTCCGGCTCGAGTCCACCGGAACCCGAGCGAGACGAACGCTGACGGACTCGTTGCGTTCCAGTGGTGCTCTCCGTTCGGGCTGGGCCCGGGCGTCACGGTGAAGCGACTGGAGGGGCGCGGCGCTGGGGGCGAGGAACGCGCCTTCACCGTGGGCGTGAACGTGCGCGCCGCGCGAGGCCGCCATCGACGCACCGACGTCGTCACCTTCACGCCGCGCTACCAGATTCACAACAACACCTCGCGCACGCTGCAGTTTGCGCAGAAGTGCAGCGCGACCACGCTCGTGAGTAGTCGGTCCGTTTTACTTTTTAGACGCTTCTATTTGAAATACATAACGCCACTCGTCTCTTCGAAAGACCGACCCCGGCGCGGCGGCGACCCACGTCCTGGCGGTGGCGGGCTGCTGTCTGCCGTGGCACTGGGCGCGCTGGGACCGCTCGCCGTTGCTGTGCGCCAGGGTGCTGGCCGCGGCCACGCACGAGCCGCTCACCGCGTGGAGCGGAGGATTCAAGATAGACTCGCCGAGGAGCCTACACGTAGCGTGCAGGTAGCGATCGGCGAAGCTACCTCGAAATCTAACCGACGCTGACTCGTGTCGCACTGACCGCGCGCTCGTTTCGCAGGGAGAGCGGGGGCTCGTACCAAATAATGCGCGCCGAGGTGGTGCGACAGGGAGCGGCGCTACTCGTGGCCGTGTCGGACGCCGAGTGCGCGCCGCCGCCGCTGCGCATCGACAACTACTCGCCCGTGGCCATCATGTACCATCAGGTGGGGTGCGCAGAAGAGAGCGTGGTGCGCTCGGGCGGACGGGCGCGCTGGGCGCTGCCCGAGCCGGAGGGCGAGCGGGGTGTGGCGCTGCGGGCGCCGGGCGGCCCGCGTCTCACGCTGCCGCTGGACGCGCTGCACTCCACGCACGCGCTGCTCTACCAGAACTTCATCTACGTGTCGTTCGCGGCCACCGCGCCCGTCGACGCCGCCCTGCCCGCCCGCGACGCCCCCGAGCTGGTGCTGGAGGTGCCGGTCGGCTCGACCCGCGTCCACCTCGCTCCCAAGCGCCACGGAGACAGGTGCGTCTCCGGTTATTCGATGAGTAAAGTTCGTCTCCGACTTTGAATTATTCTAAGGTGCCTTCGTTTCGTTTCTCGAAGGTCTCAACTGTGGCGTCGGGGTCCTAACGGGCAGCTGATCCACGAGGGCAGTTCGCCGCCGCAGCCCACGGACGCCCGATTGTCGGACGAGACCACCGTCTCGCCTCACGTTATGGTGATAAATCTCGCAGGTTACGAGTGAGTTCAACCGTTTTGTCGGAATTCGCGTTAACGAGTCGTCGTGCAGGTGCTGGACATCGAGGGCGCGGCGCCTCGGCCGGGGCTCAATTCGGCGTTGGTGCTTCGACGGGCGGACGGACGACGGGCGTCGACGCAGGCCTGGCGGCTGCTGCCCGACGGCCGCATGGCCTGCGCGCACAGAAACCTCTGCGTGCAGCCCGTGGGCGGACTCATGGCGCTCGCCCCGGGTACGCCGATGTCTGTTTGTCTAATGTCTACTTGTATTTAACGAGTGAGAGATTTTATTCGTCAGCTTTCGTTGTAGGTAGCCGCGTAGTGCTGGGGCTGAGCGGCGGACGAGAGGGCGCGGCCGTGTCGGGCGAGCAGCGCGTGCGCTGGCGCACCCTGAGGCCCGGCTCCGGCCGACTCAGCGTCACGCTCGCCGCGGACGGGCCCACTCGGCTCGTTCGCATCGTCGACACCGTCGCCACGGTAACGCTCCGTACGCCGCGTATAGAACTGGACGTTCGCGAACGTTCTTCGTCGATCCTAAAGCTCGATCGCCGGCAGGAACCGCCGCCGCCGATGGAGAGCCTCGCGGAAGAGGAGCGGGAGGAGCGGAGCGAGGCGGGGTCGGCGTGGGAGTGGGGCGTGAGCGTACGCCTAGAGGGCGTCGGCGTCTCTCTGGTGTCGCGGGCCGAGTTGCTATACGCTCACTTCGCGACCGTACGCGCAGACTTCGGTCGGGACCGCGTCGCCTTCCGTGTCGCGCTCTCCGTGCACGACATGCAGTGGGATAACCAGGTACCTCTAGGCTCCCGCCCGAGGTGGTTTCGGCTCCGGCCGTTCGGGACGACGATTGTTAATTCGGAATCGTTCCTCGGTTTAGCTGCCGGGGACGCCGAGCCCGGTGTTGCTCTACTGTCTGCCGGATCGTAACGAGAGCGGCGCGGCGCCCCTTCCCGCGCTGCACGCCGCCGTGGAGCTGCAGAGGGCGGCACCGGCCCGATACAACGCGCTTTACTTCACGCACTTGCTGGTCGCTCTCCGACCCATCGCCGTGCGACTGGAGGAGAGGTGACATATAGACGATGTTTTAATTGTGGGAGACTCCCATCTCTTAACCTAGTCCATTGGACGGACGTAAAAGAGGCGTGGCTCATTTCTGGTTTATTTTTGTAGCCGATGTCATGTGAACGGGCTTAATAAATGACGTCGGTTCAAATAAATAAACGAAGGCCGCGTCGCAGGTTGATGCTACTGCTGTGGGAGTGGCAGGTGTCGGACGGCACCGAAGAGGAGGCCGCGGACGAGGCCGAGTGGGTGACGCCGGAGCACGCGCCGCTACACGCCACGCGCTACTACTTCGCGCTCATCAAGCTGCTGCCCAGCCAGGTGAGTCTTCCGAAGTCTGTGCGGTGGCGACGCGATGTCGACATCGACGATGACCTCGCTCGTCGTTCGGCTCAGATCCGCCTGTCGATGTTCACGGCCAACAAGCTGGAGGGCGGCGCGGCGAGCCTGAAGCGGCGCTTGGGGCTCACGCTGATCCGCTTCGAAGACGCGGCCGTGGAGTTGGAGCCGTTCCTGCGCGCGCACGCCTTCGACACGGCGCCGGCCCTGGCGGCGCAGGTGTCGCAGCACTTCAAAGACGTGAGTTCTCTTACGGTTCTCGTAAAGCGATCTCGATCGTGGTCGCGTGTTCGGGCGTTTCACCTTTACCTTTGCGTCCCTCTTCCCCCAGGAGCTAAAGTGGCAAGCCGCCAAAATCTTGGGTTCGGTGGATTTCCTGGGCAACCCGCTCGGCTTCGTCGCGGACGTCTCGGAGGGAGTTTCGGGTTTGCTGCTCGAAGGGAACGTGGCTGCGTTGCTTCAAAACCTGACCCACGGCATATCGAACTCCGCCGCGAAGGTCTCAGGTGACGAAAACGCTCACAGTTGTAAGTCGTCCGGCGATGCGTTCGACGCTCGAGCTCACGGTCCAATCCAAACTTCAGAGACGCTGGGCGACGGGCTGGAGCGCGTGGTCTGCGACGAGGCGCACGAGGAGACGCGCCGAAGGATCCGCTCCGGCGCCGCCGGCTCCAGGGTCGCCGCGGGACTGCGCGGCCTCGGCCTCGGAATACTCGGTACGGACCCTCGAAGTTCCTCTCGTCGCGAGCGAGAGAGCATCTCGACTCACGACTATCTCACGTTTCGGCAGGCGGAATGACGTCGTTGGTGAAGCACACCTACGAGGGAGCGACGGCCGAGGGCCTGCCCGGGTTCATAGCCGGGGTAGGCAAGGGCATCGTCGGGACGGTGACGAAGCCCGTGATCGGCGTGCTGGACCTGGCCGCCGAGACCGCCGCCGCCGTCCGCGACTCGAGCCGACGCGGTCTGCGCGGAGGTCGCGGCGCCGGTGGCGAACGCGTGCGTCCGCCTCGGGTGCCGGCCGCCGCCCTGCTGCCGCGCTACGACGCCGAGGAGGCGCGCGCCGCCGCCACGCTGTACGCGCTCAACGGCCAAGACCACTCGGAGCGGTTCCTGGCGCATCGCATCGTGCGCGACACGCCGCACGACATCCGCGCGCTGCTCTCCGACTCCTACCTGCGGATATTCACCTGCAAGGGCTCCGCGCCGCAGATCGTCATGGAGACGCATCTCGGGTGAGAGGCGACGCGCACTCGCGGGCGACTTTCGGGCGACGAGCGATTCGACTGACGAGAGCTTTCCTTCGACAGAAATCTGGTGTCGTGCTCGGCGGTGACGGCGGAGGGCGGTCACTTCGTGGAGCTGGGCGTGCGCGGCGCGGCGGCCGAGGGGCTGCGCAGGCCTCGCGTGCAGTGCGACTCGCGCGCCGTGGCCCTCTGGCTGGCTCGCCACGCCGCACACGCGCGGCAGCTGCACCACGACCGCACGCACACGTTGGCGCCGCTCGACCTTTAATCTGACGCAGTCTGTCGTATCTTACGTTATATGAGTCACTGCTCGAAGTCAAAAGCACAGTCATAATGAGTGAAGAAGTGAAAAAGAAAATATTGTAAAGTAGAAACTATTCGACCCGCATCGGGTCGATTCGCGGTCATTCAAGTCACCATTAATAATAATAATAATTATTATTATATTTCCTCGATAACGGTGTAGGTTTAATATTTGTTTGTTCTCATTTTGTCCCAGACACGATCTCGTCAATAAACAATAGTCTTAAGACAATTTAGAAATGTTTCGCGGTCGACTGAAATGGAGCGATTATCGCCAGTGATGCGTTTAATGTTTAAGGTGAAAACGTGAATTTGGATTTTGGTTCATCTGGGAAGCGAGAAGGAACTGCTGCCAAAAATGATTATATCTCTGCTATTACGGACGATATAGCAATAATTGAATAGTTATGACTTGTAAGATAATACAATATTATTACGTTATAACGTGTTTTTTATTTATATCTATAAATAATAAACGTGTAGAAATCTCGTTTACCCGTTTAATAAATGTGTTAAAAGAAAGAGAGCGTGCAATGTTTTTAATATTGATAAGGTCACATTAAGTTTGTAGGTTAGCTAATTATTTAATAACTTAAGACGGATTAAACGACTTGGATCTCATAATTTTTCACGGTAGATCTGAGTTGCGAGACTATATACCATTTATATACCTATAAATAAACTCTTTGCACTCAATGAATTTTAATACAAGAGATTTAACAAATAACACGCAGTATAATTTATTGGCAGTCAAAAGCACGCCAAAGGTCTCTTTAAAGTGGGTGATAGACGTACGAACTTAAAGTACGCGGTTTTTAAGATCGTGAACTTACTAGGCTTGACGTCGGTGACACTACATTTTAAAAACTAATAAAAAAAAAGTTAGTTGCGCTCCCTCAAACGTCAGCATACTCTTGCCGTTATAGGTGCGATTATGTATAAAATATTTATACGATACCAACATTATTATGCAACGGAATGTAGCTTGCTCGCCTAGATATATTTGACCAAATTTTGGATGTCATAAAATATTCTTGCTGTTTTTGTTCTTTGGTCAAAGTGGAATAAAGCATTTGTAATTTTATTTTGCGCTGTCTGTAGGTCAGCAAGCCTTGTTTTTGGAGCACTATACTTCATATTTCATGCATAATGCAGCAGGATATATTATGTAGTACCTACTCCACAAAGCGTTATCAATTTATTTTTTATTGAATGTTCGGTCGGTACACATAAACTAAGTACATAATATGTGTACTGAACATAATTAGACGGAATAAAATTATAAGAATAAACCATGCAAAGGGTAATAAAACAATATAATTTATTGTAAGCCTCATACAAAATTAACACTTATTCTACTTTATGATTTACAGCTGCTTTATACATTCATATTTGTTAAATATAAGTCAAAAACATAATTTCATAATGGATGATTGTTACTGACAGTGAATTCATCTCTAGATATTACTTTCTTGTGACAAATTTTTGAATTTTAGAAATCTCAAATATAAAAATCCTAACAAATAAATTATCGTATACGGTTCTTTGGTCATCGGGTGCTTTAAATAATAGATGATTTTTGTTTTACTCTATATTAACCACTCGCGTATAACAATAGAATATATTGTGTGAAATAATGAAATGTTAATTGCTATGTAACGAATGAATGCAATTTAACAGACAAAAAGAGTGCCTACGTCTGGCTATGCTCTCGGGGTGTAACTGCCATTCTTTAGTTAATTGCTATGAAACGAATGACTGCAAAGTAACAGTCGAAAAGAGCGCCTGCGTCTGGCTATACTTTCGGGGCGTCACTCCGACGATTTAGGAAATTGTCACGCTTATAAGTGATCAAAATGTAACGCCATGGCACGTACTACATAGGACATCGTCACGCTTATAAAACTAAGAAAGCCTGAGTGAGTGTCTTGGCTCGTACAGTTATAGAAAACAAAATGCGTTTCTCTATTGTATATGCACCGATGCCAAGAACAAAACTTTCATTCATTAAGGTATTGTGTAAGTACACGAAATCAACGCAAGGGGAAGCTGGTTTAAAATGAAAGAGGATATTTTACATGTAATGGCGACAAATCCCTAGTTAACAACATAGTTTCGTCGCTGGGAAGTCAACAACCACAGTCCTCCGGTAACCGGTTCCTATTGAAGCTTTTGACAGTCCCGTCCGCAAACCAGTCCTAGGTCAGCTTATCTAATAAATTTTCTCCTTCTCCTCTCTTACTCACAATTCCGCAGAGCTCCCTTCCATAATTTTGAAATAACATCATTTATATCTTTCGCTTTTTATTTCTAGTTTTGTTTGTAAGAATTCTGTTAGCAATAGTTATTAAGTCTAAACATACTGTGTTTGCTTGTTAAAGGATCAGTTTTTACGGTTTTATTGTTGAATTCCTAGGTGTGTGTTTATATTATTATACTTATCAGAACAAAACGCTTGCCCTTTTTTAAATAAATAAAACATTTTGCCCGCAATCTGACTGGAGATATAACCAACTACTAGGATCATAGGTCCCTATATTCTGGCTACAGTCGAAAGTACCTACTAGGTACAAACTTGGTCCAAGATTTAATCTAACTCCTGAAGGTAGCAGAGTACCTACCTACTTTCAAAAAACAAGGTCTCATAAAAATCACATACCAATGAAATAGTTCTCTAAAACTTTTAGGAAAAAATAGTTATGTTTTGTTAAAAAAAATAAAGAAAAACCAAAATAAGCATTTTTCTTACTAGATTAAAAAAATCTTCGTTGCTCAGACATGGGAACTCCGCGGTTTACGTCAAATCTACCTATTACATATCTAGGCAACAAAGCCTAAGCCATAACTCATAGAGTTCTTTCAGCAGAGCATACCTCTTTGATGAATAATTCCATTTGGATTGAAGAAGATTGTTGACCAGAGGTAACATGATATCTATTATGATATCTTAAATTGCCCTCGTACCTGGAGGGCGGTGGCAGCCTCCGATAGTAATGATCGTAATCTGATCATAGGCACCTGCACACCACCAGTCTACTGATTACCTGTATTTTGGATTGGCTTCGACAATTTACGACCAGAACCATTGAACCATTTCTCTTATCGCAAAGTGAAATTCGATAATTATTGCCATTAGGTACATTGTTGTTGAAACAATAAATTAGTTTGATTTGAAAAATTATCAATAAGATTTTAGTTTAGTTTTGGTTCAAGCTTCAAGCATTCCATTACGTTTTTAATTGATAGAAACGATTTACTTCATGTGGGATTGAATAAATGCTCATCTTAATATATAATGTCCATTGTCAGTCTCCACTCTCCAGTCACCACATAGGGTATGTACCTACTAATGTTAAGAATATTATTTTACTAGCAGTAAATAGTTTTTTAGTCCTAATTCCTATACGTTATATTTTAATAGTTATAATTTTTCTTTAATTACATATGTATTTCAATTTATGTAGATTTAAAAAAAATACTACCTAATTATTCTTTATGTTGTAGGGGGATGATTGATAAACGTGTCGTATTGAAACAGTGATGTGTTCTGACAAGAACATATCAGAATAAAAGTTGGGGGGGGGTGTGGTTTTGAAAGAACAGTTTCATCGTGTCGTAAGACACGGTAATCCGTCCTGGCAAGGACGGTTGTTAAACGTTTTCGTCGTGAAACAAGAATAATATGTCCTGAAAAGGACAGTTGTTAGACGTTTAGTGTGATACGACAATTTGTCCTCCAAAGAGGACAGTTATTAGCGTTATCGCAAGGCAAGATTTCGAAGTGTTCTGAGAAGAACACGTTCGTACGCTTAGAGCTGCGTGCAGAAAAAGGCCAACTTTTGCCGCGCCGCATTTTTATCGCCTACTCTGGTACCTGCGCACCAATCAACGCTCCGCATCTTGGCACCACATGTCAATATTAGTTGTAAGTGTAGGATAATTTTTAAGTATAATTGTACACAGTTTTGTAAATAAATATCATTCATTCATTCCATCTCACCTCTTCTCTACAAGTAATTAGGGAGTTTTATTTTAACATCGACCAAATAATACTGGGAAGCAATCAACCCTCAAGCAAACATCCCTAAAAGGGTATATATACTGCTAACTGCTCAAAACAATTAGCGGAACAAGATTTTTCTCTTACTATTGCTTAAACTAAAATTAGATTTAAATTAACTTGTACGCTATTTTTTACCTTGTTAATTTGTTAATTACTATAATTAATAAAAAAAAATCAATTTGTATTTTTTTTATTAAAAAAAAATTAAAATGTGCATTGTAGACGAAAAACTAATTGGTGATAAAAAAGGTCCATTAAAGAAATATTCTTATATCGTTTGAATATTCGTCTTTAGTGACTTTCAGTAACGTGTGTGGCCTCCATGAGCCCTAATCACGGCTTGACAACGACGCGGCATGCTTCGTATGATCCTCCGAATATCTTCTTGTGGAATTCGCTCCCATTCTTCAATCAACGCTTCAGTGAGCTGCTGCAGTGTTTGAAGTGCAATCGGACGCTTCCGGATGCGCCTGTCAAGCAAGTCCCAAATGTGTTCAATTGGATTTAGGTCAGGGCTCATGGAAGGCCACTTTATTACACGGATTTCCTGCTGTCGTAAGTAATCTGACGTGATGGCTGCAGTATGCGGCCTGGCATTATCTTGCATTAAAAGAAAATCTGGGCCCATACCATATGCTGCGGGCCAAACATGATCTTCGAGCACATTTTCAATGTAAGTTTGCGCTCACAAGCGCCCGGGAACAATGACGAGATCTGTGCGCTCGTCCAAACTAACTCCGCCCCAAACCATCACAGAGCCACATCCAAATTTGTCATATTCCTGGACTGCTGCTGCACTGTATCGCTCGCCTGGGCGTCTGTAAACACGGAGACGACCATCGCAACGTGTTAGACGGAATCGTGATTCGTCAGTAAAAAGCACTGGCCTCCAATGTCGAAGTTGCCAATTAGCGTGATTTTGCGCGAACTGTCGGCGAGCTTGTCTATGTTGAATTGTTAGACGCACAGCCCGAACTGGTCGGCGTGATCTCAAATTGGCTTCCAACAACCTATTTCTTACCGTCTGGTCGGAAATTTCTACACCAGTAGCCGTCCTTAGTGTATTTTGTAGATCTCTTGCAGTTGTGGTGCGGTTACGTAAAGCACAGTTGACGATGTAGCGATCTTGCAAACGTGTAGTTTTTCTCTTTCGACCTTGACCACGCCTTCGTGAGTATTCTCCCGTCTCACGGTATCGCTTCCAAAGTCTGTAGATAACAGAAGGGGCTACTCCTAGATCATTTCCTACATAACGCATAGTTCGACCCTCTTCAAGCAAAGCGATAGCTTAGATAGATTTTTTTATTAATTGTAGTAATTAACAAATTAACAAGGTAAAAAATAGCGTACAAGTTAATTTAAATCTAATTTTAGTTTAAGCAATAGAAAGGAGAAAAATCTTGTTCCGCTAATTGTTTTGAGCAGTAGGTATATATATTTTGTTTGTTACAATAGTGAAGGTTGTTGATTATTAATTTGAAAGATCGTATTTAAAAATGATAGTGCTTAAGTATATATTTGTTGTAGGTATGTCCTTACATATGAAATTGGCGTTTTACGTTTTGGCCACTTTGACCTCAAATATCTCCTCTTTGGTTAAGAATTCCAAATTAAAATTTGTACAGCTATTTACTCATGTATTTGTGCTTCGATGACCGTCATTCATTTGTTGTTTTCTTCTGTTTTTTTCTGTTTGCGTCACTCATTTTACAAAATGGAAAACTTAAAGTATCGCATTATTTACGAGTACGAGTTCCGCCGTGGCACTAGTGCTGCGGAAACGACTCGAAGGGTGAATGATGTGTATGGCGGTCATGTTTCAAAAGAAAACACAGTTCGTTTTTGGTTCCAACGTTTTCGTTCTGGAAATTTCGACCTGCAGAACAAGCCCCGTGGACGGCCTGAGACCCAAGTTGATAATGAAGTATTGAAGGCTATTGTGGAAGCGTATCCATCGCAAACAACGTCCGAGTTAGCTGCAGGCTGCGGTGTTAGTGATAAAACTGTTATAATTCACTTGAAGCAAATTGGGAAGATTAAAAAGCTTGAAAGATGGGTACCTCACGAATTGACTGAAGCAAACCGGCAAACGCGCGTCGACTGCTGCGTTACATTACTGAACCGGCACAATAATGAAGGTATTTTAAACCGAATCATTACCTGAGATGAAAATGGATTCTTTACGATAATCGGAAGCGCTCAGCGCAATGGTTGGATCCTGGCCAGCCAGCCAAATCCTGCCTCAAGCGAAAATTAACCCTAAAAAAGTTACTTGTAAGCGTTTGGTGGACTAGTGCCGGTATTGTTCATTGCAGTTTTCTCAAATCTGGCCAGACTATTACGGCTGATGTCTATTGTCAGCAATTGCAAACCATGATGGAAAAGCTAGCGGCTAAACAACCTAGGCTGGTCAATCGCTTCACGCCACTGCTACTTCACGACAACGCTAGACCACACACTGCACAACAGACGGCTACCAAATTAGAAGAGCTTCAATTGGAATGTCTAAGACATCCTCCGTACTCCCCGGACCTTGCTCCAACAGATTACTATTTTTTTCGAAATTTGGACAACTTCTTGCAAGGGAAAAAATTTAACTCTGATGGGGCAGTCCAAATCGCCTTCACAGATTTTATTGATTCCCGTCCGACTGGTTTTTTTAGTAAAGGGATCAATGAACTACCTATGAGATGGCAAAAGTGCATAGAAAACAATGGTTCATACTTTGATTAATTAAATAATTTAATTTAAAAATATTCGACTTTTTGTTCCTCCCATACAAAACGCCAATTTCATATGTAAGGACCTAATAATTGATTAGACAAAAAAATATTTAAATTGAACATTGAATAAGGAGCTGCAACCATTACAACATGTTCCACATGACATCTTAAATAATTAATAATAAAAAAATAAATTAAAACAAAGACTTGTCGTCTATCAGCATGGTGAAATAGGAGCACGCACTTAGGTACATTCTCGTGGGAACAATACGCACGTAATAGGAGGCTCACCTGATGTTAAGTGACCGCTGCCCATGGACACTCACATTGCCAGAAGGCTCGCAAGAGCATTGCCGGCCTTTCAAGAATTAGTACGCTCTTTTCTTGAAGGACCCTCAGTTGAATTGGTCTCTTCAGCAGCACTTAATGGAGAGCGAAATACAGTTAACAAGAAAGGTATAGTCAGGAGCACCCACTATCACCAAAAGATTTTCTGTTTTCTATATATTTTTCTGTAGAATTCTGTAAAGTCTAAGTCAGTAAAGTAACTAGTAGGTCCAATATTACCTAGTAGTGTGCTATTACTACAGGTGAATCTCAAAATATGTAATATGTTGTTTTATATGAAAGTCTAGTCCTAGGTCTTATTTCTGGGTTCAATACCAGTTCCACAAATACCAATTAATAAAACGTGATACATGTTATGAAAACTATATAGGGACTTGAAAAGAGGCTAATGCATAAAACTGAGAGCATAATATATCGGTATGGCGTAGTCTTGCTCGTTCACGAATATTGTAAACGTTTTTGACAGATTGGATGTGAGTACCTATTTGCATCTCGGCTGGTACCCACTAGTAGTCCCCGCTTATAAAATTATTATACAAATCTGATTCAATTAACTTCAAAATTATGTTTTTCACAACATTTTGACAAAATATGTATCGGCTTTTAAAAGCATGTAGACTCATTGTATATGATTCTTTCTATTAGAAACCTTCTCGGTATCTTACTGTCATAATTAATTACGTATAAGCTATAGAAAATCTACTATCTACATGCAAAGCTTGTATCGTTAAATACCCTATAAATTAAACTAACATCCAATCCATCCATCCAATAAGAAAGGTTTTTATAAAAACACTAACTGAACCGGCAAACGTCGTTCTTATATTATTTCTAGGAAACATTTTTTTAGTTCAATAAAAATAACTACCTACTATAATAAAAAATATGACAAAGGATAGATATAATCTACCTACATATTTTAAAAGACAGATAGTTGATGACCATACTTATTGTTTATAACAGCCAAGAATTTGGCTAGACAACCTGCTTCTATTGAGCAGGTTTTAGTTAGTAAGACCTTGGAAGATATTCCAAGAAATAGTATTTCTAATTCAAATTAGATACTAAGACAACAGAGAGTCTCTCTGGCCTAGAATTAGAAAGTAAGATAAGTAGATTTAAGAACAGTACTATCAATCTGGTTCAACAAAATATACAAGGCATTGAGTAGTGAAACTGTTGAGATATTGTGTATTACAGAACACTGGTTACAGACATGTGAACTTGTTAAATTTTTGTAATCATCAGACAAATGCAATACACGGTGGCTCATTAATATTGCCGAGTAAAAAATAAAATTTAAAGAAAGGAAGGACATAGTGAGCCTCTCTGTGGAACGCCTTATTGAAGTATCTTGTGTGGAGCTGTTGTTTGTTTTAAGAAACTTTACTTCTAGATTAATTCTTGACGAAAAACAAAACAGGTTCAGCAAATGTTTTGTGTTGATTTAATTATATTTAAACAAACAATATAGTATAAATTTCATATATTTTACATGTCTTTAACGAACCAATAATCTAAAGTTTTGGAATACATAAACTACCTTCAAAGGTACCTGAGAAGACTCTAGTGGCCGCCTGTGGAATTATCTCGCTCAATGCTGATTATTATTTATGAGTTTCGGCAGGGAAACCACTGATCTTTTTCTGATTCTTAGGGACTCAATTGTTCAATTTGATCTCCAGTCAGTACGTAGACCTGATTTTAGCGATAAGGACAGTAACTGTGGGCAGTGACTGACGTATGTACGATTACACGAAATAATAATTATTTCGTGCCTACCAGTACGTACTTACTTACCACGTACGTACCAAATGTATATTCACTTCCACCTCTTAACTCGTTAAAAAAATAACTCTAATGATCTTATCAAATGTTTTTAATGCTGATAAAAACTGTCACCATATATGCATAAATACATGCATAGTATTTCAATAAGTAATATCAATACGATGCGGTCGTTCAGCATAAAAGTTGCGCGTCCTCCGAGGCGCCAGTCGCCGCGTAGTCGGCTCGAGAGCAACACGTCCCTAACAAAGTCGAACACGAGACCTGCGCGTGACCCTCACCTCGAAATCCGACAAGGCGATCTTACGCAAAAGGTCATCAATTTCGACCCTCCGATATGTAAGTCTCTAAATGTCAAACGCAACCGATAAACTCACACACAATCTGAAAGATGACCGGACCACCGCTCACATGGCGCGGTAGGTGGGTCGTAGCGAGTGCCATTTTCCTCGTCAACCACATAAACGCCGCGGCCTTAAGCGACGAAATCAAGTGAGTCTTTTCAGTATATGTAGGGTGAACGCGCTTTTTTAATAAATGTTCTCTTTTGCACGTCCGCTTCGTTCCAGCATGGCCTCAGTCGACTACTCGAAAGTGTCCATCGAAGAGAAGCCGCTCTACACACCTCCCTTGGAAGAGGTGGCCGAGGGTGAGTCTCGCGTTTGCATCGACATTCCAGAGGGTAAACAATAGTATATTGTACTAATATTTGTCACGTTTTAGTTTTATCTGAGGGCCTCCGGAAAACGTTCGAGTTCGTGAATGTGACGGTCGAAGACTGCCCCGACCTCACCAGAGAGCCGTTCGACCTCACAACACCCGGTAAATATTCCGCATCCGTCTACCAATTTTTTACGGTTATATTTTATTTAGCATTTATAATTATTTAATTAAATAATTTCGTAAGTAAACAGAGAAGAGATAGCTAATCACGTAATAAGCGACAGTAGCATCGGAGTGTTGACTTTGAGATCGCGAACGCTATCATTTATCACCACTTCAGTCAATGGAACGGGGCTTATCTTGTTTGCATACGAGGTAATTTACGAGCGTATATGGTTTGCGGTAGGGCTGTCGGGTGACAGCAAATTGGTGGAGCTGGGCGGCCCGCCCTACCTGACGCCGCAGGTGCGTCGCGACAAGGTGTACGACTTGGCCGCTCTGCTGCGACACCTCGGACGAGACCCGGCGCTCCTGGCCGGGGCCGGGGCCGGGCCGTGGCCGCATCTCGGCGTCAACTGCGAGGTGAACGCTTCTACTGAGTCCGTTTTTCCCGAAGAGTTTTGTTTTTAAATAAGATTGTCTGATAACCAATAATATTGGCTTAAAACGTGTATTAAACTTTGAGACGGGGGAGAATCGACTTGCTTTATTCGAAATAAGCTTATGTGTGTGTGTGTGTTATGAGCGTTTTGTCTGTGGTGTGCGCTCGCGCACGAGAATGACAGAGCAGTTTATCACGTATACGTGCATCTTTATCTGACAAAAAAAGGAATGAATTCGGTGACCCACTTAAATATATATTGACACATTTTTACTGAATTGGTACATTTGCAGGGCATCATAAACCTGTCGGTGCGCGAGGGCGCGGTGACGCAGGGCACGCGCGTCGTTTCGGTGACTCCGCCGGGCGCGGCCAAGGGCCAGGCCTCGTACCTGCAGCGAAGGCTGCCCCCCGGCGAGACCAGGACGGCGCTGCTCGGCAACTACCTGCTCAGCGAGGGCCGGCCGGGCCGGGTCCTCAAAGTGGTCGTCGAGAAACGGATCGGCCCGTCGAACTTCATCACCGCCATCAGAGAAACTTTGAAGGAGCGGTACGGCGACAGAGCGGTCGGTGAGTGTCACGCCGAACGCGGCCGCTCTCCGATGTTCTCTCTGCTCAGTCACGGTCGGGTGTCGCAGGTCTGGGCGGGGCGTTCCTGCTGGCGGCGGGCAAGGTGAAACACCACGTGATGCCGGACTTTAGCGCTTCGCCCCTCTGTTCCGACGAAGACGTGGACCGTTGGCTGCACTATTTCGAAATGACCGCGCCCATCGTCCACTTGGGCACCCTCGTCACCGGCGACCTGGTGAGTTGACTTCCCGGGCTCCGACGACGAGGAGTAACGATCCGCCCGAATCTCGTTGAAACGGAATGGCGCGTTGCAGGGCTTGGACCTGCGCGTGCAGCACTTCCACGGGTACAGCGCGCACGGCGACGGAGGCCACTACCACTACGACACCACGCCCCTGGAGGTGCGCTACGAGGGGTACTTCACCCTCGCCTCCTCCGTGATCAGGGTGGACCGGCCCCTGGAGACGCACGGCGTCGGACGAGACTGACTCGAAGAACGCCAGCGTTTTCTTTCTCGAGCGGATACGTCTGATCCGCCGGGAACTCGACTCGGTCGGACGATTTCAGGATTACAAAAATAGAGTAGCACTTAATATCTACAATTGTCTTCTCGTTGACTTCGAGAGGCGCTCAGGAGCGGAAGAAGCGCACGGCGCGCACCACGTACTGGCGGCAGATGGGGCACTCGGGCAGGCGCTTGGCGCAGGCCGTGCAGGCGGCGATGTGGCCGCACTCCAGCAGCACGCACTCCAGCGGCGCCGCCCAGCAGATCTTGCAGCACTCCTCCAGGGGCAGCCGCTCCACCTCCGCGCGGCACCGGGCGTGGTCGGCGAGCAGCAGCCTCGCGCGCTGCAGCAGATCGGCCCGCTCTAGGCAGCCCCGGTACTCGACGCGGTTCCTGGCCAGCAGCTCCTTCAGCTGGCGCACCGTCAGCCCTTCCAGCTCCGACGCCCGTCTGATCTGTTCCAAGCTCACCGGCGGAACGGTCTCCGGCTCTTTCTCCGCTACAAAATTTGTCGTCGATTAGAATTTAATAAAATTTATTTACTCCATAAATAAAATTAATAAATAGAACTTAAAATAACATATCCCGCATTTTATCTTTTATATACACGCGAGCCGCACATTCTGAGTGGCAAACGAGAGTTACCCCTCTCAAACAAAGAGAGGAGAAGAGATCGGTCGGGCGCTAAGAGTGGGGTCTCACCGGTGACGTGCAGCGGTTCGTCGCGCAGACTGGCCGTGTCGGGCCGGGAGTGGGGCTCGCCGCGGGAGAGGTCCAGGTCGGAGGTCGAGCGCCCTCCGGCCGACCGCAGCTCCGTCACCTCTTCGTCCGTTATTAGAACGGCTGAATCTACAACGTGACGGTGCATTGTCAATCTATTAAGTGTGTAAATATATAAGCATTGATTGGTGTGGCAGCCATGACTTCACAAAATACTGATGAAGATCAAGAAGAAGTGGGTACACGATCATAAAGCTAGTTGAATAGTCTCATATGTTTAATTCCAATACTGTGTTGGAATAATTTATTATTAAAGAGAGTAAAGAGTTTAGAAACAGAACTAAAATTATTATACATAATTATCAACTATTTTGAGTTTGCAAAGAAGAGTATTGAAATATCAGAACTGCATTTGCTGACTGAATCAGTTGAGTAACAGTTTTATATCTGTTTATATAACAGTTAAAAGTGATAAGATCATACATTTTGTTAAACAATATAAGCCATATTAAATAACTTATAATAAATCTTTTCCTAAAATCAGAATAAAAACATCAGATTTTACCTGTAGGCAAAGGATCAGCCGGAGGAGTAACAAATTCCCAGCCAAAGTCTTCGAGGTCCTCTATTTCAAAGCAATCGGTGGTGTCCACTCTAGCAGTCTCAACTGAAGCACTGCGCGAGACGGGGGCCGGTGTCACGAGTGGTACCCGTACGTCGCGTTCCCCACCTATTAGTTATACCTAAGTTTACACAAAGTGTAAAAATTTCCATATACAAAACTGTACATTTAGTTACACAAAGGAGAACAAAAAAAAAAATTTTAGCCAGAAAAACCCATTTAGTGAAATTATTTAAACCTATTTTAATCAATTAAAAGGTAAATAAAAAATTGTTTATTCATTACTCCTGATGTATTTAATAGATATACAGACAGAAAATAAATCTTTAAAATATTTTTGTGTTGTATTGTATATGTACTCTTTTATTATTTCCCTATTTATTTATTGAAGTGAAACTTCTTTAGCGCATGAGGGTAAAATTTTTATTATTAGGGAATTAAATTTAACAAATTAAATTTGTATTAATTTTTGACACTGTTAATATTTTAATAACAATTTTTAATAACAATTAAATTCATTAAATTCCTAATATATCTTCCTTTTTCCCTTCCTCGAAGTCTCGGAAGTCTAGTTTTAGATTTGTATAAATATGAACAAGACTTAAAAATTAGTTTGCCAAAGAAGTTTCTCTTCTGACATGTGTACTTTGTGACCTACCTGGAGTAGGTGTAAATCGTTGATCAGGTATGTTTTCATTCATCTCACTGTTTCCAGTTGGAGAGTGAGAGTGAGCTGAATTGTAACAGTTACCTGATAAATAAATAAAATCAAATAAAGAACAGTTTTGTGCCTAAGCCTAACAATATATTAAAACTTAATTCATATTCCATTATTATGTAATGAGATTTTAATGAAAGCTTACTTCTATCAGGATGTGGTGGTTGATGCCCTGTATTACGCAAATCAAATGTAGAAGTGATAAATTCGTTTATGTTATTAGTGATGCCCTTCAGTGTGTTGCTAAATGGACTAGCCCCAGTCCGAGAGCCTCGTCGCCGGTATGCTGAGCTGTTCACATGAGAGATGCACAAGCTCAATAGCTCTTCTTTTTCTGTAATAATTAAATGTCAATACATGACATATTTTTGTCCCATTCCTAACTTAAATTATATGTATTTTTAAATTACTTGGGACTCTTAGAAACAAAAATGAATAGAGCTGAAATTTTTTTTTTTTCAATCTTGAAACATTTGAAGCTTAAAATACGATTATTATTCACACAATGATGAAAAGCAAGAAAAAAAAACTAATTGTATAAAATAGACTAATTGTTATTGTCAAAACTACTCAAACTAAATAAGGAATTAAAATGTTTCTTTGCAAAGAAATTGGTACATTCAGATTCATTAACTTTTAATTTTAAGGGATATTGTCATATTGTGGAATGTATAGACATAAATATGATACTGTGTTCTAATAATCTTGGTATTATGCATAAAGGTAACCTACCAACACAGCCTCGGGTCGAGATGTTTTGATGTTTAAGGAAGCACTGCAGATCGCGCACCTTCAGGTGAGCTATGGTCTGTCGGAACAAGGGTCTGGTGGATAGCACTCGGCATGGAGCACACATAGTTCCTCCTCCGCGTCGTAAACATCCACTGCAGTAATATCGCTCGCATTCTGAGCATAGCCTTTTCCTCTTAAATACACTGAATTGTACAGCGCAACTTTCACAAGGCATTTTACATTTATTTATTTTCACAAAGGAAATAGGCGATTTCTACAACCAATTTTATACGAGGCAATTTACTACAAACATTGTAAGGTCCTTAAACTGAATTTACACAAACATAATATTATTCAGCAACGATTTTTTTAATGTGGATCTAAAATAGCAAATCATATTAAAATTTACATTTAAATTTTTTAATTTGATTAATTATTATTGAATAGTAGAAACGAACATAATATATACAGTAACGAATTTACGTTTACACCTACAGTACAGACAACAGAATACAGATCCCATTAATCCCAATATGTTTATACCACAGAATAGGAAGAGTATAGACTATCTTAAATAGTTATACCACATATGACATATAACAACCGCGCCGCGCACGCTAGCCCTCTGAATCTTTGAGCTCAGCACGAAAGTATGCTATGTCCAAACACAGCGCGTGGCGTGGAATTAAAATTTGTATAAATTGGTAATTTTTTTTGGTCATGGTCATTTCTATTCATAAACGACCGATGAGAACCGCAGAGCGCTCCACGCCAACGCAACGCTGGAACTGCTTCACTCGCGAATTGTCACCCTCGCAGACGGCCAATTGGTCTCTCAAACGTTCCTTCAAAACCAACACGGTGGCCCCTTACGCTTCAGTCGCGATTTTCATGAATCTCCCTCCATAGTTTGCATAGCCTAATGGATTAAGTTGGCGTCCATACGCCAATTCGACATGGCTAAACATCATCCCAACAGGTTGGTGCGTAAAAGTATCAATTATTACCCCTTCCCAAAAAAAGGCCCGTAGGAGGCCCGACATGTCTTAACGGATACAATCACCTCATTTTTAAAAAAAAGATTCATAAAATATATTTGATTGTATCCGTCCATGCACGAGCTACGCTACCGTAGTTTTCGCGCTTTGTGCTGTCTCCCATATCCACCGACTGCATGCGCAGATCCGGATGAAATGGGGTTTGTTGGAAACTGAAAGGCCTTCAAGCAAACTGTAAAATTCCTTTAAAAAATTGTAAAAAATGTCAAAAGTGATAGAGTCTGGCTAATGAATGAAGATAACGAAAAAGCGCGACAAATTAAAAAAAAATAGCATGGTATCCCTAAAAGTTTGATACATTTTGTGGATTAAACTTACTTGATACTTGATTTTGTTTTATTACTTTTTACATTGATAGTAACTGTATTTCTATGAAATTAAATACTATACGTATTTTAGTCTTTTACTATTGATACTTAAAATGACATTGCAGGGAAAACTAAAACTAGATTTATTATAAAACACAACTTTATTCGGAATAATCAAAATCAGAATCCAAAAAATCAATATGCATAGATTCATCAGTCATTGCTGTTATCACTGTCTCTCACATTGATTATGAAACTTTCTAAATGTTACTGTAGTCCTGTCCCTTTCTTTATATTTAATTTCCACGTGTACAACATGATCAGTCAGATTTTCTTCCACTCTTCTGCTGTTACATTTTCAAATGACTCTTTGTGCTTTAAAATTTCATCAGCTTCATATATTGGCTCTGGTTTATACCGTTTTACTAGACATAGCAGTTCTGTTTTCGTATGGTACTCTTCAAATTGAATATTATTCAAAGTAAGCCATTCTCTTATCTCATGTTTGCGATTCTGTGTTCAATTACAAATAACGTTCATTTTTGTTTTTCTTAAATTCATAGCCATTAGCCAATAATATTCGGCGAAGAGTTTCCCGACATCCAGTAAATCCTATGCTTTCTCTTAATTCCAGCAAAAGTGTTCTCAATGTTGGAACTTGTTTTCTAACAATATAAAATTCATTGATTTTGTTGCGAATAGCATCCATGTCAAAATTGTCCAAATGAGACACTGTTGGTTTATGAGGTCGTTTTTTTCCAGGTGTACTCCAGACACCTTGATTTGTTGCCCCTTCTTTGTTTATTCTATGTTATGATATTACACTTACACCGGGAAAAAACAATGAAAAGGTTATTACCACACACATTTTTTTCAAATTTACTTGAATAGTATTGAAAATTTTACCAGTGATGGAAGCGATTTCTTTAAAGTACTGGTTCTGGGATTTTATTCTATCTTTCTACTCTAAATCAGTCAGCTAACCAATAGTTCTCGCTATTGCATCGACTCCTTCTACATTCTCCAGATTTCCTGGAAAAGAAACGAAATATTCTACCAAATAAAACAAAGTTTAGGCTATTATACCTGTTAACTATTCAGAAAAAATATATAATAGAAATAAAAATGAGTAATTGCATGAAGTATCAATACAATAAATCATACTAACCTAAGAAATTCAACAGCACACGTAAACAATCTTGTTTTTGGTAGAATTCAGCTTCTTTTTCTTCTTGTTTTTCTTGGAATTTGGATATCATGCAGAACACAGAGAGAATCTCTCGAACTCCACTTTTAATAGTTTTAATCATATTTAAACACGCAAATGAATAAATAAGAACAAAATAAACCAAAACGAATGTTTGACAACAGCCATATTGAGAAATTGACAATGACATTCTGTGTTGCTATCCGAAAGTTTTCAAATAATTCAATTATCTTCTTTCATTAGCCAGACTACAGCCTTTTATTAAAATAACACGCAATCTAGAAAATAATATTATTTTTTACTTTTATTACAGTAGAAGTTTACCATTAGGGTAGCATCGATTAAAGCATCAGCTGTACGAAGATGTACGAACTAATGTGTGAAACTAAATGATCTAAAGGAACGTCTAACCACCAACAGGCCAGTTGCTACATACCTATATAAGTACTTCGCGATTGGAATAACTTTGGTAACGCGATTCAACGTCATCGTACCTTTTTTGGAGCCGAAGATTGTAGGAGTCCCCAGAGAACCATAAATGCTTAACATAACAGTTGTACATAATATATGCCTTCGATTTCCTTCATCTATGCCAAACAGTGATTCACTTACGTTTTAATACACAACAATCTTATGTTTCCTGCGAGTTTAGCTAGGATTGTATAATTTACGAGGAGGTTCAATAAATACTCCAATAATATAATCTAATAAATACAATATAGTATTGAAGTTCACACGGTAATAAAATAAGTCTGCTTGAAACATTTTAATATGGGACTGATAATTTAAGACATCAGAGCAACAGTAGGGGTTCATGCTCTTCCGGATTCTATGGTTGAACGTCGGTGTATACACATCAATAATGGCTAAACAAATGACTTTAAAAGATGAAATAATTGTCTTGGAGGATTGTCGTGTTACTGTTTGTTTTATAGCAGGTGAAGATTTCTATAGTAAACCCATAAAATTATATAAAAACACTTGGATGAAAAATGTGTCACTGGGTGCCCAGATTGCTTAAAGAAATAAACGAGACAGAATTTCACAAAGACCGTCATCGCCAACTCTGAAGTAATTATTAAAGGTAATTCCATCTGCCTGAAAGGAAATTCCATCATGAAGTGTTTTTGCTGGGACAGCCGGTGGAAATGATCGAATACCTTCATAATGGGATTTTGTACGCAGGACAAATAACAAAGAGGTTGAGGAAATACCCAAGCAAGGTGTTGCAGACTCGCTGAAGTTGTTTTGAATCACCAAGATAACGGATCTAGATTTGCGATGGCTGCCAGTCAAAAAGCTGAGTTCGAATTGAATAGAACATTCTCCATATTCACGGGACCTAGCACTTAATGATTTCGCAGTAAACGACTTTTATATAAGGGGATTTTTTTAGAAAACATATATACATAGAGTAGAGTACCTATAAACCTGAAGGTTGTGTACGAAAAATAAAAAAATATTTAATATCTTTTATTACAATTAATTGCGTCATATTTAAGAGTTTAACACACGTCACGATCACGACGTGAATATAGACGACGACATATAATTTGAAAGCATTGCATAGATATTATTATGAATGAATTTAGGTACAATAATGATAATTAAAAAGGAGCCATCCTTTTAATTTTCGTTGTCCTCGGACGCTGAATTAGTATACATTATGCAAGGAAGAAAATGGTTTCGGTCATAATTACACAAAAACAAAATACTTATTTATAAACTTTATATTGACTTATTATTGGGTAATGCCAAAAAGGAATCCACTCAGTTGACATTTAGATTTTTAAATTGTTCAAGTTAATTAAAGTCGTAGGTAAACAGTGAAAAAATACAGAAAAATAAAATACCTTTTTACCTTTATTTGGCTGTATATTATTAATTGCTTCTTTGAACGAGTAATAGGTACTTCCATAATTATATAATTGTACTTTTTTAATTGTTACATAAAATCAAACTTGATGCCCGTTGCAATTAGATTATAAACCTTTCGTAGTTACTCCGCTGGAGCAATGACTCTCCAAAATAAAAAAAAACCTTTGTTGAGCTTGGTTGCTGCTTGCCAATCGGCCACTTATTCCGGCTATTTAGAGGCCCACTGAAGACCATCAACGTACCTTCAAATTCTCAGCAAACTAGATAGATTTTTAGTATTAGCGCCTATCAAAAAATTGAAAGCCAACTAGTTTCTATGACCATCGCTATTCAGTTGCCTGCCTTTCAGTTTTCTATAGATCACTCCGCAGAATGCTCCGCGCATGCATACCTGCACAGATTACCTCTCCGGTAGACCGTAGTGTGTATGGCCTACATTAGATCTGAGAAACATTGTTTCATTGAAATTCTCGTGTCGGGGAAAAAGTTATTAAAATTATCACCAGGGAGTTCAATTCTTTTCTGCTGGTATCTGACTAATATTATCTAGTATTATCTTTTATTAAAATAATTATAAGTTTATAATAATACATAACTTCAATCCGGTAAAAAAGTGTTTTCTTTAATACTATCTAGTTACATGTGATGTAATTATTTATATAAAGAATCAATAATATATAATAATTCGACAGTTTTCAATGTTTAATTGTTACTGAATTCATTCAAACAAAAACCATCAAAACTTATTATGTTATCAGGGCTATTTATGTTTGGGATTGAATGCCTTGCTACACCAATTCAGTAATATGGCTAATTCACCCTTTTTATCCTTATGTAATGATATGTTTGTCTCAATCCAACAGCTTTGTAAATTTTATCAAAGTCTACTTGTTAGGATGACCCTCCACGACATGCCTTGTCCTCACTATTGAACGGGGCTTGCCTTCTAGCTTTATTCTAAGCGAGATGTGCGTAGGATTCGTACGTGAGATACTGTGGCACTTGTCAAAGAGACTATTTCCAGTCCGTGCACTACATTAACTGCAAAACGTTAAGAGGTGCTCCGCTTGAGAGCCTGCGCTACGGCGCGGCGCGGTGGTGAGCTTGGGGGCAAGTGCCACCGAATGCGATATGAACCGATCCATTGATCTAGTACTGTACCAAATCCACCTTAAAGTAGTTCCTTGTACTTGATGGAGTAATCAGGAGTTAATTTCCCAAATTCGCGCTTTCACAATTTCTATTCTAAGTTCGCATATTAATAGGATGACGCATTGTTGAACAATTAATAACGCACAAATAGATAAATCAAACTGCTGATGCACTTGTTTATAGTAGAACAATGGTGGCGTGACTCTATGCTGACTCAACAATTCAACAATTTACTTATTGGCTTAATTTATATATGTCACACGAGGAAATCAAATATGATTTATGATATGCCACACCATGTAGCTTTTGAGGTTGAACTAAAAGAAAAAATCTGATAATTGTGTAAAACGATGCCAATGATATAACTTGTTGGCTAAATTTGTGGCCAATACATAAAGCTAAATACCACCCCGTCACTGGCTAGTTTGTATTTATTCATGAGTTCCAGTGACGGTAAACTCGTGAGAAGACGCGCATCCTCTAGACTGGGCTATTTATAGGGAGCTTCGTTGTTGATTCGTTTTAGTATTAAGCTATAAGCTAATATACTGATTACTCTGAATAAACCACCAAGATTATGCTAATACCACATACAACACTAATCATATAATATTATTATTAATTCGGTTAATTAATACCTGTTGTTACATTACATTATTTAATTATGCAACTTATTAGACTAGCTCCGCAATTTTCATTCGATTAGTAGTGATTTATCCACGTGTCTATGATCTAGATACATTATTTGCTGAAAAATCTGTAATTATTTATATCACAATAAAATAAAGTCTGTCAGTCTGTTCGAAAAAGTTGAACGCAAGTCCCCGTTTCTTTCTTTCTTTCTGAAATCAACCTATACAAAATATCAATAAAAGTATTATTAAGAAAAAAATTTAATAAACAGAAAAAATTGCGAATGAGGCAAGAGGTCATTTAAAAGTGCCCACATTCCATAACGTGACTCAAGAAATCTAAGTGGAACTTTTGTACATCCTAAAACCCAAAGATTATTCGAAAATTATTTTGAAATATAGCTTTTCCGCTTAATTGTTTTTTTATATTTAGTTAAGTGTTTCTGATCTCAGTGAATTTTTGAAGCCCGATATTTTTCGAGACAATAAGGAAGGCTTACATCCCTCATGAAAGACTATGTATAGTATATATATTTCTATATATACATATATAATATGTGTAAGTCGATGACCGGCGGATGGATGAGTACATTCGCGAATGCAGGTCGCAGATTCGGAAGGTCGCTTCCGCGCAACGCACCGCGGCGGCCCTCGGCTCGCCCTCGACTCGGCACTCGCCTCCGGCCTCCCGCACTCGCGTCCGAGCCTTCGTCGAAGTCGCACGATATGGCGAACGCGCCCTGAACACACGACATCCGTAAATCGCGTGTGCTGTGACATTGCCCAAACGTGACCACTTGACTAGCGACAAGACAATGTATCGGTAAGTCATCATCAGCTATCACATGAACATCTCCGGCTACGCCGACTTCCAATATTTTGGAGAGAGCAATTTCCAAGTTCTCTGCGATTTCATTTTTACTAATCCATATTTTATTTACTTGTGCAAAGGAAATAATCGTTCTGTTTGATTATTTGTTTCAAAATATTGATTAAATTATAAACTGTTTAAACACCGATAAGAAATCTTAATGCTAATTAAGGTTTCCCTTTTTTTTAATTACTTAAATATTGGCGCATATAATAGGGATTAATTTTCGCGCCTTGACAGTTAGTTAAACTAGAAAATGGCTGCGGTACTTGTCCGGCCGACCGCGTCATCTGTGATATTCCGGAATTGTGCGACGATGGCAACGGGAATAAACAAAAAATCACCAAGTAACTAATGCTTCTCCAGTTGCATTCAACTGCCATTCCTCAAATCCAGAGCGTAGAACAGACGAGAAGAACTGGCAATAAACTCTTCGTCACTTGTTCTAAATTGCCAAGTTTTTTGTCTTACTTGTTGTTAGATGTCTACACGTCCTGCCTAGATAGTTCTTGAAGTATTTTATCCGTGCGGTTTCCTGGTGGTTTTATAAGTTAATTATATACAAAGCAATAAGTTGATGTATGAATTTTAGATTTCAGTGGGTACTACATTCGACATATTATATTCAGGTCACTACTTAAATACAAAATATAGGTGCATTATTACGTATCCTTTGATGTAAAATTAAACAGTTATTAGCTACTGTTTGAGTACTTGCTTATTAAGTGCAGGGAAATACAATGTCATTTGCAACTTGAGGAAAATGTAATTGATACTTACGATGACAGCTCGTTCCGCAAATACCTAACTCGCACACATCACATTTTAACACACAGCAGCGGATCGCATCAAGTAACGAGAAAGATTCAACACTTTACCTTTGGTCATCGGCAAAGTTTAGGCTATTGTCTTTGTTGGTCTTGCGTGTTTCAAACCAAAATAGACGAATGGATTTATGATTGGGATCAAGGATTCAGTTTTAATGTTAAACCTAATTAAAATATTAATAATAGTAATTGCGGTTTATGTATTTTTTGCTCTCGACGTTTTAAATATGACTTTGTATTCTTGGTCATGGAATCATGGATTGAAACATTTTAACGATCCGTTAAATGAAAAAAAACAACAACATATTTTGACTGCCAAATAAGTAGTAAATAATATACTTAATATTTTTGATTAATTACGAAGATGCTGGTAAGGTTAATTTATCATAGAGTGACCTGTATCAAGGGTAGCCTGCAAGTCTTATAATTTAATTAGATAGTAATTCATGAAGGTACATGTAACATTTTATTTTGCTATTACTTCATGAATTAAGTTATGTTTATAAGCTTTTTAGCGTATTTGAACCAAAACAAGATTTTTTTAATCATTTGTAATTTTTATAGTTCCTATAATTCGACAACCCGCTTATGTAATTAAAAGTGTAATTGAGGTGCGCGCGCGTCGAATACTGAGCTACGTGAAAAATGTGGAGTGTTGTGCAACACTGTCGCTGTTCATTCTTTGTAGCATTTACAATTGTTCGTATATGACCATACATATAGCTATAATATACGTACGTAGTTAATGAATGACTCTGCATATGTTTTAGTGCAAGGAAGCATTCCACTAATTTTAAAAAAATCATTTAGAGATGGGTAGTCACGCAGATAAAGCTGCGCAGTGCGCTGTCGTATGTATAGTATTCGTTACCCAGGTTAAAAGTACTAAACATCTAATATTTCATTTCTGATTTAAAACGCAATCAACCCATGCTACGGTGAATATTAGAAGCCGGCAATATTTTCACTTTCTTAGAGTACTCACTGTGAATATGAAACACGATGTTTCCATGAGTTACGAGTAAGCTCTGGTGTTCGTCAATGCTGTACTATAATACTTTTCTTAAATAATAGAAGCATTTGAATAGAAAATACTCAAAAAGAGAGAGAAAAACTCCCAAATTTTGATACTGACTCCAAAGACGGATACATCCAAGTTTTTCATTTCAACGGTTGAAAAGTGGTAATGTTTACTATAATATTTATTTTGCACTATATCACTTTGCAGGATTATAATAATTGCTATAGCTTTATTAGGATAGGCTTGAATCGAGTTTTATATCCTTAAAACCTACATTTTTTTATTAAAAAACGAATAGCTCAGAATTAATATTTATTTTAAAAACTAAACACTGAACTAAATACAAATTAGTTTATTATATATTTAAAAAAATAATTAATTTAAAAAAAAACGTAGGTAGCCAGTACTTCTTCACTATTGCTACGTCGCGTCGTTCAGATGTGGTCGATGCTCAGTCATTACAACAAATTCCCAGAAATAACTTTATTAAATAATTAATAGCAATTTTTATGTCGCGTTACAAAGATGTCGCTTGTATAGCTGGCCATCAATTCATTAAAATTACATTACAATGAAACAACCATGGACCACATACTCGCGGTATCATGTTTGTAAGTTTTGAAACCCAATTATTATAAGATCTTTGAATTCACCCAAAGTCTAAAAGTACATGACAATAATGATTAATACACTTAATTACGGTACGGCACTTAATTAAAAGCGGCAAGAAGAGGTAGTAATAATGTTGTTAATATCTTTTAAAGCTATTTAACGATATGCTCAAAAATGACTACTACTTGAAAATCAATGAACCTAGAAAATGTATTGAAAGTAGGTCAGAGAGGAATGAAGAGCGCGTGCCAATTCCACATCGACTTTCAATATGTGTGGGTCATATCATTTTGTCAAAAATGACAAACATGAAACTTGTCTCTTGTCAGGAATTTAATTAAAAATCGAAATGAATCAGTGTTACCGTTACGATCGGCTATCGGCTGTACCGTTAGCGCATGGAGGCAGAAGTGCGGTCTGATATAGCTTTTCATTCCAATGACCGGACCGACAGAGGCTTAATATTTGCCAGTAGGTACGATTAGGACTTTTATTAGAATCTCAATGTATTAATTAACATTAAATATTATCTTAAACTTATACACAAGTGGTCCTGTCTCGGTGAAAGTGTTCTAGTTGAGGAGGGTTTGTTTCGGTGACCTTGTGCTGGTCATGAGATCTGGGACACTTACTCTGTGATAGTCTGTCTCTCAGAGCCACTGACGACTGCCTGCTTTACCTTTCTCTTTAACGTTTAGTAGGGATGCCTTCACAAAAAAAAGATACGCTCGTCGGGCACTCAATCGTCTATAAATAGACGATTAATCATAATACATGTGAAAATAAGGAAGATTTCTCAACAAAATAATAAACGCGAGGTCAAAGTTGCAATGTTTTGACAATACGGAAGGTTGCGGCTGAACAATGATGTTACATAAAAGTATTGAAGAATTTGACTAAACGATTAGAATACCCTGACATTGAACGAGATTAGAGGCCAATGAGGCCACTTACGCTCGTCACTTTGAATAATATAACTTCCCATTGATCTAAGAACATTAAAAAGGAAAATGTTAGAGGCGGAATTCTACAAGACGTTAGCTCAGATATACCTACTGATCAGCCGGTCCTGGCTCGTTCATCGTTCGGTTGTTTCATTTACGAGCCGCGTTAAATTATGTCAAGCGGCGACCTCGGTTACTTAACGATTGTCTTAGAACGAAAGTATGTTGCCTAAATTTACTGATGTTGCCTTATTTTAGGGTAAACTCTTTTTCATAGAAATTACGAATTACCATGAAGATTAGCGGATGTTATGCGTACGATTACCCGATTGACTTGAGCCACAAATCGACGACGTGTGTCAGGAGTTTGGGTCAGATGGGCAATTTGCCTACAAAAAGATATGATCAATGAAACAGACACAATATGGTGTTTGGCCTATGCCCCATTTGGGGGTTGCTGTTGTCAGCTTGGTCTATTAATATCTCTTATGTTATCTATCGAAATGAAACCATAATGAATACAAAATCTAGTATGTTATGTGTAACCGGGAAAACCTAATGATTTGGTTTTGTATTCGGTTCTCGTACTTTTGTGAAGGTCGTCGCTAATGTCACCAGGTCTTACACTTATTGGCTATAAAACAATATTTCAATTGGATATATATATAATATTTAAAAGAACGTGAGTGAGTGTGCGAGAATAATATTTTTTAGAAATAACCCTATAAGACTAGATAGAAGTCAAATGTATATCAAAATAAAATAAAAAAAGAAGAAAAACATTTCTTCGCTGAGGACAGGATTCGAACCTGCGCGGGTAGAACCCATTGGATTTCAAGTCCAACTCCTTAACCACTCGGACACCTCAGCTGCGATACTTGACGCAAATTGTCTATAAACATATTTGGTACGGACTTTAGGACATTACATTTACAATTAATATATTTTTCTTAATCATCATCAAGCTTAACGCGTTTATCTCTATATTTCAAACAAAATTTTAGATTCAAGTCTTCAAGTACAAACTGGTAATAATGATAAATCCTTGCAACTTAAGTTGTATTCTATATAATATAGTCAAATCGCAGTCGTAGTTCATGTAGTAGTGAATATTTTGTAAATGAATTGGTTGTCAAAAGACATTATTTCCTCATTATCAGTGCATCGTCGCATGCAGGCGTTGTGCGTTGATTTAACGGCATATTTGTCAATGACCCACTTCAATAAAATTATGAGCGCACATACCACCGAAATGCCTAATCTTAATACATGCGTCCTTATTAATGACTTCTAAGGTCTGATATTGTGTGAAATGTAAAGGCTTTTTTATTTTTCTTATATATATCAACAGTGCAACAATGGTACATTGATATATTTACAAAAGTCTAAAAAACATTAAATACTTTGATTTTTACTTATTCGCAAAGTGTAATTGGGGATTGGGAGTCTCCACTAGCGTGGCAATTGATTTAAATCGACTTTTGTTACAATTTCAGAATATATTTATCTGGATAAACACCTACTCGTGCTTCGCTTGTATTTGTAATCAGTGGCTATTGTTCCGAGGCGTCCTTATTAAAACACTGCCCATGACAAGTCTGCGTTTATGTTGACATTATTGCGTATAATGATGACTCCAGTTAGCGAAACTTGTTAAATTCATCCACTTTATAAAGTATTGAGGATGTTAGGATGTGTCATCGTTCATAACGGTGTCAAGACGTCAGTAGTGACAGCGTTGAGACATTCAAAAGGTGCTTTATTGTTTCTCGCAAATATGCCACAATTTATCACGGTAAATATGCATGACTTTGCCTATTTACTGTGATTTGTTCATTATATTTTATTTTGCAAACTAATACGTTACAATGCAGACGTGATTATATTTTCTAGAGCTCAAACCTGCAACCTTCCCTTTACCCTAGAATTGTAATGATTTCATCTCACGTAACAACATTCAATCCACACCGCTGACTCATCGGATGATCGCATTACTTTTTGCTCATCTTTTTTTCAACTAAATTAGTAAACATAGATCCAAGGACCGGTTCAGAGACTTCTTGCAATTGTATATTTTACCATCAGTTTTAGGATGATAAAGATAGATGCATCCTTGAAATGTGTGTACTTAATCTTTATTTGTTAATTATATTAAATTTTGTATAAACACCTTCTCGTACAACAAAAATAAGCTATTTCATAGAATGGCACCATCTTCTGGTGAGCTGAGTTGTCAACGGTGTAATACAAGAGACTAATAAATATTTATGGGAGATTCTTATTGTTGTGTAGGGCCAGTAAATCACATACCGTCCGCACACGGACACAACCTTAGGTAATATTCTAAGTTGGTTACGTCATGTGAATTACGATGAAAGCCTTAGAGCCACTGCGACGTTCCGGAGGACATATATACATATACAATATATTCCATCCTCATCGGGTTATGTACTAACCTGGACTTATCTATAACCGGGTTATAGA